AAGGTTTGTTATTCACCGGGTTTCGTGAAATCGGTAAAAAGATCAACGTACAAGAAATTTTTAATTGTTCATCGTGAAATGGCAATTTTATTTCGCGTTCTTCTATGCAGATACCACCCCTTTACGCCCCTGAGGCTTAACAACACTATTTACCAAGGTTTACAAGAAAACAACACAAAACTATTCTGGCGTTATGTTAAATCCAGACGACAGGTAAACATTGATATACCAGCAATGAAACAGAATGGAGCCTTTGTTAATGACAACAAAGAGAAGGCAAATATACTCCTAAACCAATTTGAATGGGTTTTTACAAAAGATACACTAAACGCAACACCAAACATTGACAAGAAAGTTGATCAGTCTATACCACCACTGATGATAACAACAGAGGGAGTGGAAAAACTTTTAAAGAACATAAAACCATTTAAAGCCATTGGGCCCGACAACTTACCAAACATCGTCCTGAAAAACTGCTCTAAACAACTATCACCTGGGCTGAGACACATCTTTCAGCAATCCATAAACTCAGGCATCTTACCTACTACATGTAATTGGTTAAATGCGAACATCACTGAGACTGTCACTCCTGTATTTAAGAAAGGAAATATTAACACACCAGAGAACTATAGACCTGTTTCTTTTACCTGCGTTACCTGTTAGCTACTTGAACATATTACATTTATATGTAAACATATCCTGAAACACCTGGAAAGGAACCATTTACTCACACCACTCCAGCATGGCTTCCATTCAGGTTTCTCCTGTGAAACCCAACTTTTAACAACTATGAACGACATACTACAACTTTATGACAAAGGCCACCAGACAGATATTATGATACTGGATTTATCTAAAGCCTTCGATACGGTCCTGCACAAAAGACTGTTATCCAAACTTGAAAGTTATGGTATTGATGGACCAATACTAGATTGGCTCAACATGTTTCTTACAAAACGATCTATGCGAGTCCTGGTAGATGGCGAAAATACTAACTCTGTAGGTGTAGCATCAGGAGTACCTCAAGGCACGGTACTTGGACCGCTGCTTTTCTTGTGTTACATTAATGATCTACCTGAAACTGTTAAATCTCAAGTCAGATTATTCACCGAAGATTGCCTTCTATACATGTAGTAAAGTTCAAACACAACATTTATTCATTTATTCATTTTTGGTGTTTTAACACCATTTTTAAGCACAGCTTTTGGGCTATTTCGTGGCAGCCAGTTTTTATTGCTGGAGGAAGCCGGAGTGCCCAGAGAAAACCACTGACCTTTGATAGGAAAACTGACAATCCTAGCCAGTGGTTAGTGATTACAGTAGTAACTACTTAGACCACTCGGCCACTGAGGCCCCTTCAAACACAACAGGACCACCAACTACTACAAAACGACCTTGTATCATTGGAAGAATGGGCCACAAAATGGGGTAGGAAATTTAATGCTAAAAAATGTTACGTGATGAGTGTCAACAACAAATCATCTCATTTCTACAAACTAGACAACCACATCCTGCAATAGGTACAACAAAATCTGTACCTCAGTGTTATTATCTCAGATGATCTGAGATGGGGCGTCCACATTGCTAAAACCGTGAAGGAAACTAACTCCACTCAAGTCTTCCTGCGACGAAACCTCCATCACTGTCCAAAGGATTGCAGGTATCAAGCCTATATAGGGCTTATCCCGTCACTGTTAGAATATGCATCTATTGTATGGGACCTTTATTTAATCAAGGACATTAATGCACTAGAACGTGTCCAGAGATAAGCAGTGGATATTATAATACAAGCAAAGAGGAAGGTACTATAAGGAAACTTATGAACGAACTTAAACTTCCAACACTTGAAAGCAGATGTCGTCACAGTAGACTCACTTTTTTCTACAAGGTGGCCGGGGAGTTGGTACCAGCTATCTCAGTATTAGTCAAGGAGAGACCAAAACGTCAAATAAAATCCAAGACAATAGAGAGCTTTTAAACTTTAATTGCTTTCACATCATTGGACTAATTTTCCAGTGCCTCTCTTCTGTTGCCATTGATGCCATAAAATGGCCATCCAACGTTCCTATTTAGATTCAGATCAATTTATAAAAAAAATTCTAGACAAGTGCCGGTGCACAGAACTGGGTTAATCTAGTAACTCAATGTCGTGTGCATGTCTGTGTAAATTTTTTTCGTCTATGTCCTGCAGGTGCACTCAAATCAGAATAAAAAACAATTTAGCATAAGGAACGTACGACCATTTGATTTTCTTGGAGGCCAATAGGATTTTTTGCAAATGGAATATATTCGACAATGAAGGGGGTTTAACCACCTTGACTACCCATTAGGGTCTTGCACTGTGGGGGAATATATTCATTTTCACTAATTGCCAGCTGGGACGCTTTCATGGGATCATGTCGTTCCGTCCCAAGTCGTTTCGGCCCAAGTTGATCCGGCCCATATTTAAAGTAGATCCAGCCCCAATTAAAAAGATATCTACTAGGGAAAAAATTATATATATTTGACTTGTACTTCATGAATATTAATGAAGTTTATAAATACATGTATTTAGCAAAGGTAGACTATATGAAATGAGCTTTGGATGACAATATCATATTCAATATATTTACGCATTGCGACAAATATTGACCTATCGGAAATATCATATATTTAAAACACAAACCTGTTTATTTAATATAAACACCAATAGATGACCACTATAAAGACACACACTCACATGTGTTTGTTTACATAAAAAGGAGCACAAAAGAAAAACTCAACTAAACTGCCAATAACTAAGAACCAATCAAAACAAGAGTTCAATTTCAACTGCCATGAATATGCATGAGTAGCATTACTCAATACGTGAATTATATACTAAATCATTCATTTCTAAAGTACAAATTACATGATTTATAAAGCATAAAAAATCACTCTATTCATAATGATTATAAATGTGTCATTTTAACTTACCAATAAGCATGCTTGCTGTTTAAACTTTTGCTTTATTGGTTTGATCTGCTGTTGACTTCGTAATTCTGCTAAATGTGCAAATAATTTGATAATCTGATATTTCCACTGTAAATTTAATATTTCTAGCTTGAGACTTTTGCGTTTTCTGACATAAAGAACAAAATAAAAATGTTTGCATTCTGTATCTTTTATGGTAATATTCTATACAAAGCACAAAAATGTCGACATTCACCTCAAAAGCTAACCAAACCTTTAAACAAGACTTATTCAGAAGGGATATAGTTACGATACTTCAGGTCATTAAAGATGGCATATTTTTGTATTAGTATTGATTCTCTCATAGGGTCTTTGCATCGGTTTATTCTAAAACCAGTTGTTGGCATGATACATTCTTCTCATATATTTTTATGACGGTATGATACTAAACCCCTAACCGGATGGATTGTGCTTGATTTTCAAATGATGAGGACATAATCTTTCAATCAGTTAAATTGAGGGCTGGAGCTGGCATGTCAAACAATCATGAATTCTCAAATCCAATTTAAATATTTTGGCGGATACTGAAATTGTTGCAGTTAAAAAGTTGTAAAACTTGACAAACAAGTGTCTATTGTTATGGTAAAATGATTTGTTTTTACCTAAATGAAGTCTTATTTATTGATTATATTCTGATACAGTTAATAAATAGAATACCGATGACTTAGATATTTGTTACAGGTATTCAAACGTCTTGTAAATTTTACGGTTGATTAGTTACGAAATTGACTGGACCTTTGATGTACTTACTAATTAGGTTACAAATTATCATGAGTGCTTACAACTCTTGTATAGTTTGACACTAATTAATAAGAGTAATTATCTGATCAGAGTACCTTACACTCTTATTCTAATTGACACTTGTTAATAAGGGTATACACACCTGACAGTTATTTTATAAAATACATTTATGTACAATGCCCTTTGGCATTTATGTTGTAAAGCTATACGGTAATACTTAGCCATTCAAGTACATTAAACATATTCAACTTTTTTTTAAATTGAAGTATCATATGATGTTTTTGAAGTTTAGTCATGTTCTGTGGTATATTTTTAGATTTTTGTGATATTCTGCAGTGGTCTCGAGTAAAAAGAAGAACCATTTTTTTCTTGAGTTCTTAAACACCTCTTATGAATTTTATATGTTTTTGTCTGCATATTGGTATTGGTTTAGCCTGAATAGTCCTTCAAGATTAAATAAATAATAAACTAAAATAATCTCAGATATATACCTGAGAATAGATTTTTTACCTATATTATCATGCTTATTAGTGATGCAACATCTACTGTTTTTAGGGGCCTCTGTGGCCCAGTGGTGACTGGTCTAAGTAGTTCATCTACTGTATCACTAGCTTGTCAGGTTGTGAGTTTGAACCCTGTATGTGGCAGTTTCCTTCACTTAATTTATTAAGATTGTCAGTTTTCCTGCTGAAGGTCTTGGTTCTCTATTGACACTTCGGCTTCCTCCACCAATAAGAACAGGCCTCTATGGTATAACCAATAGTACAGAAAGTGGCATTAAACACCTAAAATCAATCATTCTACTATATGCATGTATCATGTTTAATGTTTATGTTTATATGCTTTATAGTTGACTTTGCAGCATGGGTTTTCTCATTGTTGAAGGCAGCACAGTGACCTATAGTTGTTAACTTCTGTGTCATTTGGTCTCTGGTGGAGAGTTGTCTCATTGGCAATCATACCACATCATCTTATTTTTATAATACAATCTTTAGTGGCTTGGTTAATTCTTTTTATTTTAATTAATTTGTTTATCTTTGTTGTCTTATAAGCAAGTTCATCAGCTTATAAGTACTGAAAAATATAAATCATATACACTAAAAAACCTTTTGAATATACAAGCAAAAAAAAAAAATACACGTAAGAGTCTCCTGTCCTCTGCTCCCAAGACTGTTTAAAAACCTTTATTTGTTGTTAATTAAATATTCAAGAAATTTATTAAAACGAACGAAATTTAATGACTAAGAAACATTATTGTTATATTGCAGGTATATGTGTGAATGGTCAGTGTTCAGGGAAAAGATGTGGTGAATGTATAGTAAGTGGTCCAAACTGCCTATGGTGTAAACAAAAGGTAAGTAACTCTTGTTTCTTTGTTATAAGTTTGCAACTGTTATATTCAAAGGTACCTAGGTAAAATATAATACGGGTAAAATGCAATTCTGTAGAAATTATAAACATGGGAGAGGTTTAGAAATTTGAATTTTCACAAGATTTTTTTATTATGCCCCAGCCACTATTAAGTGTATCATGTTACCTATGTCTGTCATTGTGTCCTACAGTCATTGCAGTAATAAAACATTTGTTCAGTCGTTTTTCGTTATAATATGCATGCAGATATTTCCTGATTTTGAGTGGAATTACGGCCCTATTACTTTTTTAGTAGAAAATCTTGACATAATAGTATGGAAAAAGTACTAAAAAAAATTGTTACAGGTTCTGAAGAACCCTGTGTCTCATCTTTGATTGCTGCTCTCGGTATAAGAGTGTAATGTTGACCGTGAAAAGTGAGTCCATTTACCAGTAGCATACAGAATAAATAAAAAAATCAAATTTTTTCTTTAGATGATATTTTTTTTCTATTAGAAAATAAGCTTATGTCCAATTTTCATAACAATCATGAAGATTTACAAATTTATCATTTCAAAATGATTTAGTCCCAAAATGTTAAATGTTAAATGCAAACTCAGGTCCATCTATCAGTAAAATACTGAAAAATGAAAGAAATATATATTTTTTTCTAATTTTGCTTCAGACATTATCTCTTAATCATAGAAATGCTCCTGTCAAAATTTCATAAAATTCTATGAAAGAGGGACGAAAGATACCAGAGGGACAGTCAAACTCATAGATCGAAAACAAACTGACAACGCCATGGCCAAAAATAAAAAGACAAACAGACAAATAATAGTACAGATGAAACAACATAGAAAACCAAAGACTAAGTAACACAAACCCGTCGTGTTGCTTATGTTATTACAAATCTGGTAAATAGTCAGGGTTGGCAAAGTTATTCATGTCTGAATAACTTGAACCCCACACTGTGCTTGTTAATTGCAAAACATGTTTTTGCTCTGAATACTGTCTTTTGATCATAAAAAGCTTTAGACTAATTTATGTAAAATGCCATGACGGTTTGACAAAGTTATTGATGACTGAAATCTTTAACCTTAGACTGTATCTTAATGTTAACTGTAAACAAAGCTAAGTCCATTTCTCAGTAAAATACGAAAAAAGGAAAATATTAAATGTTGCGCTGGATTCTTAGACCCGTACAGAAATTGCTAACAAAAGCACATAAGTTTCACATGTGAAGCACATGAGATGCAAGTTAGAATTGTATGCAAATCAGATTGCTCACATGTGCAGTTTGGTAGTTCATATGTGCCCAAAAAAATCTAACATAATGCTCATATGTGCAATTCAAACGTCAGGTGAGCTTTTATCATCTATGTTAGTTTTATGTTAGTTTTGTACTTTGAAAAGTTTGTCCATTCTTCTAACCATTTAAAACTAACGTAGATCATTGCTCATATGAGCTTTTTCAAAATGACATGCCCAGTCATGTACTTCCTGTAAATTCAAATTCAAAGCATCAATTTGGAGGGAGATGGAGATTAAAAATTTTAAGCTATATTTTGTGCTATTTGAACTTAATGGCATTGTTGGAATCTGATAAAACCAGTGTGGCTGTGGTTAATTATTTGTAAGTTATCATTTCTATTTCATCATGTTCATTTTTGTTTCAGATTCTGAAATATATTACAATTTTAAGTCCTTTATGGGAGTATGCATGTTGCTTCAAATAAGTACTACATGTATATAGATAATTCCTGTTTTAAACTTTCTGAAATACAGTGCTTAATCAAAGACATTCATTATGTACTAAACTTGCAAGTCCCTGCACTAGTTTTATAATGTAATGTAATGTTTTTAGTCATTATTGTTTAAATAACAAATAGCACTTTACATGATGTGTCATTTATTTTATTTTCAATTATTTAAGATTTTCATTTAAATTTGAAAAATTATCCTATTTTGAAGCAGCAATTTTGTTTTGATCTTTAGATACAATTTAATCACCATCATCTGGAAATAATTAGATAACAAAATCAAATGGGTCAACAAATATTCACGTGTGCAACATATGAGCAATCTGATAAAATGCACATGTGAAACAAAAGCTCATATGAGCATTTGCAAGTGAGGTTTTTAACATACAAATTAGGTTAGTTTCATATGTGCAATTTTTTTGCTCACAAAATGCTCACCTTATTTGCATGTTAAAAACCTCATGTGCAATCATGTTAGTTTCTAACGTGAGCATGCATCTTATGTGCAACATGTTAGCACCGTTTGGTAAAGGTGTCCTTTGGTAATAAAAAAGCTTCTGTCAAATTTCATAAAATCTCATTAAGGTTTGACAAAGTTATTGATGGTTAAAAAACTTATGCCTCTGACTGAACCTAAATGTTGACACTGTTGACGTCAACTACATAGCCAAAGATAATGGAATTTATGATCATTATGGGTGGACAATTTACATAATCAAAATAAATACACTTTGGAAGAAACACAACCAATTTGTGCTACATTTTTTTGTACTTGTTTCAAGTTTAACCACTCTACAATTTATATCATAAAACTTTTTTTATGAAAATTATACTTGTCTATTTTTTTATATAAAAAGCAGGTAAGATTATTTTTATGTTCATTTATGATCTATAGGGAATGTTTTCTAATATAGTTATGTTTGGTTTCATAGTTTATTATCAATTTTAGAATTACAATGAAACGAGGTGTGCTGTGGAAGCAACTCTGACATCAAATGGCTGCTCATCATCTGAAATTGTTCGCCACCCCGAAGCAAGTGTACAAAAGATAAAGGTAAAATTTATGATTATGATGATCTGTTTTTCTGCATAGAACATATTAACAATTAACAATATCAATTTCATCACAAGAAGTTAAACTGTTGGTATTTTTTTGAAGAAGTCTGGAGCTTGTTCAGGGAAAAAATTTGTCTAGCAACTTATTTGATAACAGGTCTGACCAATCTTTGAAGGAGTTATAAAGATCATCATAGAAAAGTCTGTATATTCAAAGCTTAAAAACTTAAACCATCATCTTATCCACACATTTAGCCATTTTAGAACCCCCCAAAAAAACCAATAGATCACAGGACAGGACATTTTAGTGAAAAATTTAAAACTACTAGGGGATGTTTTAGAGCAGACTATACCACATTTAGGACCAGATTATTCCGTTCACCTGTATTTCCGACAGCTTAATTTAGCCAAAACTTTCCTGGTTGAATAAATCTCCGCATACTAAAACCATGAACAGTAATTTATGCTGAAAACAGTTGTAAAAATAGGGGGACTAATTTACACAAATAAACTTATGACACTTGTAATTCAAATTCTTCTCTCTATTAAAATCCTTGGAAAGACGTATTATAACCTGATCACAGACTTGCAACGATATAGCGATGAGTTGTGATTTTACTTGAGTGAGTACAGGTATAATGATTGATCATGTACAGTTCTGTGGATTTATTTCTTTTTGTGGGTAATAATTTTCGCAGTTGATGAAAAATTGTATTTTGTCGATATTTGATTTTGTGGTTTTGCAAAAGTTTATGAATAATAATGAATCTATTGTATATGTCACCTGTTGCTCTGATTTCCAATTGTCTACATTGCCAATGCCTTGCATCTACTTTTAACTGTTTACTTGTTTACTTATTGTCCAATGAATCAGCTGAGGTATAATATGAAGACTCTCAAATTGACATTTAAAGTCTTTTTTTGTCGGACTCAAGTAGATTGGAATGTTTTACTACCACTTAAAGGGTTAGACACAATTGTAATGTTTACTGGACTGCTAGATCTCCTGCCACTCTGATCTCGTAGGTCTGACAATTTTCAAAAACTCAAAAACTATTAGATTGCAACCACATGAAACATATTTTCTGATCAATAAGTAAGAGCTTCTGAATAGTGAAATGGTAAGCTATAAGATTACTTTAGTACAGTTTATCTGTAGTTAATATTTACTTGGTTTACATCTTATTTTGTGAAGTACATTGTTCATTGTATATCCAAAATCCAAGAATGCTGGTGCACTACTGCTGGACTTATTTCTTCTTTATTATCAGGATACACCTTTACAAGATGGTGGTCCAAATAAAGAACCTATACAGCTACAACCACAGGAAGTTAAAATTAGATTAGTTCCTAGTAAGTACCTGTATAATGTACTTTAGTATATATTTTAATACTTTACTTACATGACTTAGGTGACAACTGTGTTATTCATGATTTCAGCTGTAGTTTCAGAATTCATTGAATAAATATACCGGCCAGGGTAATGTTTAATCAGGATATTTTAGACAGGGACTACACATTGCTTTTAAACACATGCCACAGTATTCTGATCAAGGATTTTGATAGTTAGCAGGATTGGAATCTCATTAACAGTTTGCATACAATGTTAGGAAATATGTTGCATGATACAGTTACATGGTGTCTTTTATGTGTAAGAATAGGAAACAGCAGTTCACATCTTAACATATGGCACCTAAAGTTTAGTCCTAAACTCACTGTGCATTTTCTCCCTATGCCATCTTCATAATCCCGCCCATATAGGCTGTACATGCTAAATATTGATTTCAATCTCCTCCCTAAAATGAAAATTTTTATTATGAAACTTATAGTTTATGAAATGAAAATGTTATGATATGAGCACCTAGGAAAATAATATAGCAAAGAGTGTTTTTGTCGTTGTTGTTAAATAAATGTTTGTTTTAGATCAATCTTCAAACATCATGCCGTGTCAGTGTTCAAACATTTTGCCATGTCAATGTTTAAATATCTGGCTTATTATGCCAGTGTTCAAACATCATGCCATGTCAGTGTTCAAACATGGTGCCATGTCAGTATAAACAACGGGAGCTAATCTAAACTAAATAAAGTGTCACATTCGGTAATTTTATGAATTATTTTAGATACAACAGTTTACATGGTCCTTCCAGTACAGTGTTGTAGACCAGTTGGTCTGATAATTTTTATTTTATTGTAGATAAAGAGTTTAAGTGGTCTTTCATGTACAGAGTAGCAGAAAACTTTCCAGTTGATATATACTTTCTGGTAGATCCCTCATATACAATGAGAAATCTTCGAACTCAGTTAGCAAATTTAGCTGATGACATAGGTTTGTATGTCCATTTGTTAGGTCATTTAAAAAATTTAAAAACAAAAACAGTAAGAGGCATGGAGTAGATCTACGTTGAATATATACAATATTTTCTGGTCTCCTGCTATTGAAGACAAGAGGACTATAGGAATGCACCATGTGACTATCAGTCTCTAGTCAGTCATAATTAAGTTTTCAACACTTTATTCTGCAATACTTCAATATTTTTCTAAGCTATTGGTAAATAATCTTATCTGAAGAAGTTACAGATTAATTTTATGTTTTGTTCCAGTTAAGTCATTTTTTGCCAAAGTTTGGCCCAAGAACATAAAAAATAAGTTTAAAAAAATGTAACAGTTTTCCATACTTTTTTTTATCTGTAAGGTCTGAATCAGTTGACTAGGTATTTAGTATAATGTCATATAAAAAGTTACAGATTACATGTGATTCATTTCAGTTGAACAGTTTTATGGAAGTTGTGACCCTAGGATATAGAAAATTGCTTGAAAATATAAGTTTTTATACGACCGCCAAAAAAATTTTGTGGTCGTATATTGGTATGACATTGGCGTCGTCGTCCGACAACACATTGATTTTCGCACTCTAACTTTAGTTTAAGGAATGGATCTCTATGAAATTTTACCACAAGGTTCAATACCACAAAAGGAAGGTTGGGATTGATTTTGGGGGTTATGGTACCAACAGTAAAGGAATGAGGGGCCAAAAAGGGTCCAAAAATAAGCATTTTTGTAACTTCCAGACATAACTTGTGTGTTAGTGTATGGATCTCTCTGACATTGTACCACAAGGTTCCATATCACAAAAGGAATGCTGGGATTGATTTTGGGGGTAATTGCCTCCAAATTTTAGGAATTAGGGGCCAAAAAAGGGGCAAAAAACAAGCATTTTTCTAGTTTCATGACAATAACTTGTGTGTAAGTGTATGGATCTTTCTGAAATTGTACTACAAGGTTCCATATCACAAAGGGAAAGCTGGAATTGAGTTTGGGGGTAATTGCCAAAACGTTTAGGAATTGGGGGCCAAAAAGGGGCCAAAAATAAGCATTTTTCTAGTTTCCAGACAATAACTTGTGTTCAAGTGTATGGATCTCTCTGAAATTGTACTGCAAGGTACCATACTACAAAGGGAAGGCTGGGATTGATGATGGGGGTAATTGCCTCAATATTTTAGGAATTGGGGGCCAAAAAGGGGCAAAAAACAAGCATTTTTCTAGTTTAAGGACAATAACTTGTGTGTAAGTGTATGGATCTTTCTGAAATTGTACTACAAGGTTCCATAGCACAAAGGGAAAGCTGGGTTTGAGTTTGGGAGTAATTGCCTTAAATGTTTAGGAATTTGGGGCCAAAAAGGGGCCAAAAAACACATTTTTCTAGTTTCCAGACAATAACTTGTGTTCAAGTGTATGGATCTCTCTGAAATTGTACTGCAAGGTACCATACCACAAAGGGAATGCTGGGATTGAGTTTGGGTGTGATGAATCATAAGGGGGTTCAAAAAATTTGGGGGGGGGGGGTTTCCTTTTTTTTCTTTTTTTCCTTTTTTTTTCTTTTAAAATTTTCCATTTTAAGTTGGTTATTTCTGATTTATATTTAAAAGCAAATAATAATGATATGGTAGGAGATACACACCAAACAGGATGTGTAAATTATTATAAAATAAGTATTGTGCAATAGCAAGAAATTTTCAATTGCACAGTATTGCACAATAGCAAGAAATCTTCAATTGCACAGTATTGTGCAATAGCAAGAAATCTTCAATTGCACAGTATTGCGCAATAGCAAGAAATATCCAATAGCACAATATTGCGCAATAGCAAGAAATTGTCAATTGTACAGTATTGCGCAATAGCAAGAAATATTTAATTGCACAGTATTGTACAGTATTGCGCAATAGCAAGAAATATCCAATAGCACAATATTGCGCAATAGCAAGAAATTGTCAATTGTACAGTATTGCGCAATAGCAAGAAATATTTAATTGCACAGTATTGTTCAAAAGAAGATACTTTGTATAAATTGCTTATTTCTTGACCAATTTCAATGGGGTTTTATTCTTGAATTCTTGGGGTTCTTTAATATGCTGAATCTAACCGTGTATTTAGTTTTTGGATTTTGTGCCCCGTTTTTAAATTGGTCCACATTGAGGTCCAAAGGGTCCAAAATTAAACTTTGTTTGATTTCATCAAAAATTGAATTATTGGGGTTCTTTGATATGCGGAATCTAACCGTGTATTTAGATTCTTAATTTTTGGTTCCGTTTTCAAATTGGTCTACATTAAGGTCCAAAGGGTCCAAAATTAAACTTAGTTTGATTTTAACAAAAATTGAATTCTTAGGGTTCTTTGATATGCTGAATCTAAACATGTATTTAGATTTTTGATTATGGGCCCAGTTTTCAAGTTGGTCCAAATCGGGGTCCAAAATTAAACTTTGTTTGATTCAACAAAAATTTAATATATGGGGTTCTTTGATATGCTGAATCTTACCATGTATTTAGATTTTTGATTTTTGGGCCCCGTTATCAACTTTGTCCACATTGAGGTCGAAAGGGTCCAAAATTAAACTTTGTTTGATTTCATCAAAAATTGAATTCTTGGGGTTCTTTGATATGCTGAATCTAACCATGTATTTAGATTTTGGATATTGGACCATAATAGGTGAATGTCCAATTTAAAATTTTTAAGTTCTTAGACCACATTCATTCTATGTCAGAAACCTATGCTGTGTCAAATATTTAATCACAATCCAAATGCAAAGCTGTATCAAGCTTGAATGTTGTGTCCATACTTGCCCCAACTGTTCAGGGTTTGACCTCTGCGGTCGTATCAAGCTGCGCCCTGCGGAGCATTTTATTCACATTTGTTTCTGTAATGCTTGAATGTATTTGTAAAATATTTGGTAAATTATCATATTGTCATATCATAAGAAGTTGAAGATGAGTTTTGTTCCAGTCGAGCAATTTGTGGAAGTTGTTGCCCTTTGACATAGGAAATTTCTTGAAAATAAAAGTTTTCACATATTTGTCTCTAATGCCTAAACATATTGATTTGATGATATATAGTCCTTTACTGTATATAAATTTTTTAATTGTAAACTCATTAGGTCTCCCCTATGATTGAATGCTTGTTCAAAATAAGTGTAATCCTATGTTCCTGATATTAGGGGACATTGTTTTGTCCTTAGAATGTAATTTAATTTATCTTATTATAACTTATCTATACTATCATGTTGAGCACAGTCCTGGACTATTTGGATCATATTGACCTACTGTGATGCATAAGTGACTCCTGTTTTAAGGTTAAGGTTATTAAAGTTGTAACTTTTTCACATAAATATTTTTGAGGGTAAGCTTATCTGTGCCCTGGTGTTAATTATAATAATTCATAACTTTTTCATAGTTAGCCACATCTTACAATGAGAAATCATGCCATTACATGACATAACATACAAAAAAAACAATTAAAAAGTTGAAAACAAATTTGTTTTCCCTCTGAAAATCATACAGATTAACTGAACTACTTTGTTTTTTAGCTCACCTGACCTGAAAGGTCAAGTGAGCTTTTCTCATCACTTTGCGTCCGTCGTCCGTCGTCCGTAAACTTTTACAAAAATCTTCTCCTCTGAAACTACTGGGTCAAATTTGACCAAACTTGGCCACAATCATCATTGGGGTATCTAGTTTAAAAAATGTGTCCGGTGACCTGGCCAACCAACCAAGATGGCCGCCATGGCTAAAAATAGAACATAGGGGTAAAATGTAGATTTTGGCTTATATCTCTGATACCAAAGCATTTAGAGCAAATCTGACTTGGGTAAAATTGTTTATCAGGTCAAGATCTATCTGCCCTGAAATTTTCAGATGAATCGGACAACCCGTTGTTGGGTTGCTGCCCTTGAATTGGTAATTTTAAGGAAATTTTGCCATTTTTGGTTATTATCTTGAATATTATTATAGATAGAGATAAACTGTAAACAGCAATAATGTTCAGAAAAGTAAGATCTACAAATAAGTCAACTTGACCAAAATGGTCAGTTGACCCCTTAAGGAGTTATTGCCCTTTATAGTCAATTTTTAACCATTTTTCGTAAATTTCTGAATCTTTTACAAAAATCTTCTCCTCTGAAACTACTCAGACAAATTTAACCAAACTTGTCCACAATCATCATTAGGGTATCTAGTTTAAAAAATGTGTCCGCTGACCCCGCCCGCGAACCAAGATGGCCGACATGGCTAAATACAGTACATAGGGTGAAATGCAGTTTTTGGCTAATATCTCTGAAACCAAAGCATTGATAGCAAATCTGACTAGATAAAATTGTTCATTAGGTCAAGATCTATCTGCCCTGAAATTTTCAGACCAATCAGGCAACACGTTGTTGGGTTGCTGCCCTTGAATTGGTAATTTTAAGAAAATTTTGCAGCTTTTGGTTATTATCTTGAATATTATTATAGATAGAGGTAAACTGTAAACAGCAATAATGTACAGCAAAGTAAGATCTACAAATAAGTCAACATGACCAAAATTGTCAATTGACCCCTTAAGGAGTTATTGCCCTTTATAGTCAATTTTTTACAATTTTCATAAATTTTTGTAAATTTTTACAAAATATTTTCCACTGTAACTACTGGGCCAAGTTCATTATAGATAGAGATAATAGTAAGGAGCAAGAATGTTCAGTAAAGTAAGATCTACAAACACAATTTTGTCATGAATCCATCTGTGTCCTTTGTTTAATATGCACATAGACCAAGGTGAGCGACACAGGCTCTTTAGAGCCTCTAGTTTTATTATATCTAGCAATTTCCAGTTTGGCTTATTTTTTCGAATATTATTGTTGCCCACCATCAGAGGTGTGTCTAGTACATAGGTTTGAATGTCTGTTTGTAAGGTCAAGGTCACAAGCATAGTTTTCAACATGCAAAGTTGGACTCAGACTTGAAAACCTTAGTTCATATAAATGGTGTGATATTATTGTATCACACCAAAAGAAAGTGTTGTGTGATTTAGTTGTCTGTCTGAAAGGTCAAGGTCATACTAAATTTATTAAGATGAATACAAGGGGTGAGGACTGAGGAGTTTCATTTTTTCAGCTTTGCCAACAGTACCTTCATGTGTTCTAGTGTTGATGATTTCTTGTTGTATATCTTGATCTCCATGTCACATGGATTTGTATAGTTTCTGTATCTTTCAGAAGTTACCACTAAAAGACAGACAACATTAGGGCTATCTTTGAAGTTTGAGTTTAATTTAATTTTAGGTACTTCTATAGGACAATTAACAAATGATTTTAGATTCGGATATGGTACATCAATGGACAAAGTAACTTTACCCTACACTCATACAACACCAGAATAGTAAGTGATTAATTTCATATATACTAAATTTAACCAATTACCTATTTAACTGTTGAAATACTTATAAAACATTTGATTTACATATTACGTAGTTAAATGGACTGTGCTAAGTTACTCACTTCTAATTTCAAACATTAGCATACTGAACAAGCCATTATTTGTGCAGTACAATTTCATGCTATTTTATGTCACTCAACTGTAAATTTGTACCTGTGAGCATTATGATTTAAAAGTTCTTGCACAAATAAACAATTCTTGGCAGAGTTGATCCATAGATAATTGGTTACAGCATAAAGCTACCCATCTTTCGACTTTTCTTTTTATAAAGAATGCCTTCTGACATTTGATATTTGATATGGTATAACCCTTGTATATATGCATTGATCAGTATTATATGAGGTATTAAGTCCTTCTGTCCTGCTTCAGTTATTTCTGGTGTTATATGTTTGTTTTTGTTCTCAGTATATATGAAAGCAGCAGTACTATTATAGTTGATCATTGAAAGTTTGCATGGTACATTTGTATTGCTACATCACCAATACATCAAACTCTTGAGCAGTGTATGAGTTCATGACCTCTTAATCATGCTCCAGTGATTTTATATTATTGTACAGTGGTCAATTATTTTGAAATGATGACTTGTGTATTTATAAAGGAGTTCAAATGATATGAATGTTATTTTGCATATAGCACTTCAATATTTATGAAAGGAGCTAAGAATAAATGTCTGATTTATCAGTGAATGTAAATTATTAAATTGCTCAGTGTCATGTTTTCTGTTTTTTTTTTCAAAATAAATGTAGCAATAAAGACACCATCAGTATAATCATGGAACAACAACAAATGGAAGTTTTTAACGACCTTGACTGGCTATACAGCCCTTGCACGGTCGGCTATCATGGAACATTGGTGATGGCCCACATTTTCTATTCACAAGTAAATCTCTTAAGAGTATGACATATTGTATAGACACATTTCTATATCATAAGAACTTGAGATTTTGAATGCTATGTATGGTTTAAAGTGTTGCTGGGTTTCTGTTTCATTAATCTTCATTTTTGTCGAGCCTTCGACTTTTGTCGAAAAAGCGAGACATAGCGATCCTACATTCCGTCGTCGGCGTCATCCACAAATATTCACTCTGTGGTTAAAGTTTTTGAAATTTTAATAACTTTCTTAAACTATCCTGGATTTCTACCAAACTTGGACAGAAGCTTGTTTATGATCATAAGATAATATTCAAAAGTAAATTTTGTAAAATTGTAAAAAAAAAATTCCATTTTTTCCGTATTTTACTTATAAATGGACTTAGTATTTCTGCCAGGAAACATTACATTCACTCTGTGGTTAAAGTTTTTGAAATTTTAATAACTTTCTTAAACTATCCTGGATTTCTACCAAACTTGGAAAGAAGCTTGTTTATGATCATAAGATAGTATCCAGCAGTAAATTTTGTAAAAAAAAAATCCATTTTTTCATTATTTTACTTATAAATGGACTTAGTTTTTCTGCCAGTTAACATTACATTCACTCTGTGGTTAAAGTTTTTTAAATTTTAATAACTTTCTTAAACTATCCTGGATTTGTACCAAACTTGGACAAAAGCTTGTTTATGATTAAAAGCTAGTATTTAGAAGAAAATTTTGTTAAAAGTTTGTTCCATTTTTTCCGTATTTTACTTATAAATGTACTTAGTTTTTCATCCAGTTAACATTACATACAGTCTGCAGTTTAAGTTTTTAAAACATTTATTAGATTCATAAACTATCCTGGATTTTTACCAAACTTGGACAGAAGCTACTTACAATCAAAAGATAGTAAAGAGAGGAATATTTTTATTAATTTTTTTCCTCATTTTTGTTGAGCCTGCGATTAACAGCAAAAGTAGGCGAGACACTGGGTTCCGCGGAACCCTTACGAATTTTTAATAGAGACCATACAATAAGGAGTGACCTATGACACAAACATGATATAGAAACCTCTGAATAAGGCCAACAAGTATAAATGCCAAAAACTACTTTTTGGTAGAAGTTCTTTCAAAGTTTGACTTTGTATGAGTGTGAAGTTTGTATAGATTTGATAAATTTGACATTACAGTCATATAAACATTAAATATGCCCAGTAAAAAAATTGTATCTTACCTTGAGCCTTTAATTTATTGAAATTTATATTATTTTTTTCTTCAGTTTACAAAATCCATGTCCTGGTGATTCTACTCTTACATGTGCTCCACCACATTCCTTTTTACACAGGCTGAACCTTACCAATAACGTCCAACAATTTAGAGTAAGTATAAACTATGCTTAAAACATCTTAAAAGTAGTTATAGACTGACCTGAATTTCTAAAATAAAGTCAGAATATACAGATAAAAATCTTAACTTTTGTCATGTATGCTGGAGTTATTAACAGAAAAAATAATTTCTTTAAAATCTAAGCCAGGTTTAAAGATAAGATTTCAAATTAGATTTCTGATTCTTGGTTCTAGAAATAGAAATTACCCAGTAGACAATCTTGTAAATATAAAGTAGATTACAGACCAAATTTTATTGTTCTTTAAAATGGCTATATTTGTTAAGAAGTTTGAAGATAATGCAAACAAATGATCATATAATCCTGACATTTAGATATATCAGTTTTTATATCTCTTGCAACAAAGTTTTCTTGGAAAGATAGGGATCATCCTATCCATTGTCAACCTTCTGGCAGGCCTTCCTTGTTAGCACAACTGATCCTAATGGATACTACATATATTGATGAAACTGTACAGTTGAAAAACATTGCATGAGGATGTGCATAAAGAATTTATTCCCGGCCCCACATGTTAAGGGAGATAATCTAATTTACTTACTTCAATATTGCAATATTTGGTAAAAGTCTCTCGTAAGATCATCTCATCCTAAACAGCTAGATTGATATTGATAAAACTTTAGTTTCTATATTCCCACTTAAAACTTTGTTGTGGAGTTATAAAAACTGATGAATCTATATAGCAGGTCATAGGACATATGCCCAAACATACTAACAAATATTGGAATAGCAACCTATATAAAAAAATAAATAGACTTTTTTTTGTCTTGGAAACAGAAGTCTCCTGTTGGAGCTGTTATCTTCTAAATTCGTAGCAGTTGTGTAATGGGTGTTCATATGAGAGTTGATCATGGTTATATGCTACTTGATTGATTTTAGTCATTTTAGGTATTTTTGCAATATACATATATCTGTATTCATTGTTTTATCAACCTAAATTACAACTATTCTGACACATATCTTAACAAATATGCATTGTTTTCTGCCCCAGTCTACTTTGTAATTATTTTATTGTAGATTCTTTTGTTGGGCAACTGTTTAGAGGATATATGCAGGAATGCATTGCCATTTTTTTTTTATATAGTTTACTTATTCTGTCCCCCTATGTATCTTCTACTAAATTATTATGTATGAGTTATCATTGAAGTTCTACTAGATAGACACAAGGGCAATATTGATTTTTGGAACATGTTTGAGCACTGCTGCTTATATCTGAAAACTTTCCAGTCACTGACAAGATAAAAAACAACAGTTAAAACACTTTGGTGTATTGTTTATGTCAAGTATTACATGAAACTCATGAACATCTGCCCCATATCCTTTACACAAATGTCTCAGTATAATGCATGAAATTAATAATTTTTCATTTTTTTTGACAGAGTACTTAACACCAATGACAAGGGCTATTAAATAGTGTACAAATGTAAGAATTTGTATAACCAATATATACACAAAAGTAAGGTGCCAATATTTCTTTGTCAAATCAAAATATTTACGCAAAACATTTTTAGATACAGATAAATTCTAGAATGTATGACCTTTTATTACAACATTATAACATGGGAAGGAACATATACTTTTCTTGGATTTTCTTTGGTTGATGAATATTTTCAACAGAATTTACTTTAACATATACTAATGGGCAGGAGTAATACCACCATTGACTTTCCCCTATTAGTTTTTGTTTAATTGGCATTTTTCAAAATATTGTGCAGAATTTATCTTTATTTCAAATAAAGAAATACTTAGCATGAGTAAAGTTTTATCCTGTCCAGTACTACATTGAAAATTTCACATAGCATTTCATTGCATATAAGATAATAACCATCACCGGAAGTAAAGCAATCAAATTTTCACCCTATTTTTTCCTGATAACAAGCTTTAGTAACCATGTCACCTGAAATTTCCAAAATATTTTTTAAGAACAGCAAATAAAAAAAGAATGGCGCTTTGAAACACCAAATATATATGTTTATGACTCAGAATTTTTTTTCTGCAATGAAATGCAAGGTTCATTTCCCACAACTGTCAAATTCAAAGAAAAGTGGAATTCTTTCTTCTATTATTTGTAATATTCTGTGTTTTTTTTATCATAATTCATTGACACTGGGCAGTAAAGAATCGAACAATGTTTTTTGTTTGTTTTCAAAACTTTCGATATAGTTGCATTTTGCATTATGAGCAGTCAACCGATTGACAAACCAAAATTACTGGAAAATCTGTGTGAAAGATTTCAGGTTTATTTCGAGTGGTATTTAAATCTTGAGTTGTTTTCAAGATCGTTTCAGTCGTTGAAATAATGAAAAGTTGACTGAAATATGCCTAGTCGCCACATGTCAATAATAACTCACCTCTCTTTCTTTCTTTCTTTTTAGTAAATCCCTCCATTATCTGGAGCACCACAGGGTATCTGTGTAATCAGAGCAACGGATTTTTAAAATATATATATATATAAATGTGTTTAAAACTTCTTCTGCATGTGCAGACCTAAGTTTATGTCATCGCACTACACAGTAGAATATAGTCTGTACAGCATCATACAAGTAGTTATATACATATTTACCCTCCACCTATAAGAAAACGCAATGTACAGCACTCCTAATTTTAAAAGTCTACTATTGGTTTTAAAGATCTTTCTTGTCCATTCACATAGCTTCACAGTTAAAAAGTCTATTCCTCTTGTGAATTAAAACAAAACTGTTCAACAACTGTCTCTGTTAGCTTTTCACTATAAAATATGACCTCTGCGTAACATCCAATCAATATGAGAAACATTATCTTAAGCTTAAAACTTATCCTTAAAATTAATGAATTTAACATATGGTAATTTAATAATTAAATGCCACAGGATTTCTCTACTTAATCTATTTAAACCTTAATAAAAATTCCAACTTGTTACTAAAAGGTAAAAGGACTTAAAGGTAAGATCGACTACTAGCGCACCTAGCCTTTGGACTAACCCAAGTCTCACCCAACATGTATATCAAGCCTGGAACATCTTTCCCGGTGTAAGGCAAAACACAATCCTCTGGACATCGCTTCCATCTGGTGAGATATCTCACTAGCTTGTAGGACCATTGGCAATGATGGATGTGTGATTGCCTTTCTTGAGATTCCTATTATTTTTTATTTTCTCATCAAAACAGTTTATACATCGAATTGCCGAAACCCGCCTAAACTATCAATATCCATCTGGAATTTATTGCAAACCAGAGCTGTTGTAAAATCATCTGACCGTACGACATAACTGTTATGTCAGACCTATTGTCAGGTAAACTATTTCGATCTATAAGTCCGATGAAAGTTTTGTTTTTAAATCTGAAACAAACAGTGCCAAAGTTGACATGTGAAAAATTCGATACAATTGGGTTTCTACCTCTACAAATTGAAGATGTAAAAACCCGAGTGGATCGAACTTATTTGATTTAACTGACGGCCCAACATGTCCAATGCTAATTAACAAGTGATATTAGTTTGATAGAACAATCAACAGGTGACCGAATATTGATAACTTGATACGGCTTCTGTTTATGGCACACACCAAGGATAATTAAAGGTAAATACCGTCATTAATAGAAAAGTGGAATGTTGTCAAAACATTGTCATTGATCAGAAGATTTTGATGCCGAAAAAAATATTTAATGACCTTTCAACTCTGCAAAGAAATACTCACTATTTCACACTCCAATGCGGACATTAAAGGACCTTCAGCATGATCAATAAGCTGACGTCGTAGGAAGGCTTCACAGAAAAAAAAATTTAAATAGCCTTTCAGGAGGTCATAATTATTTGGACTACCTCCTCAGTGTTTAGATTATTAATCCCCAAAACTGTTACAAGGATTAGGATTACTTTAGCAGGTTGGGGAGGATCTTCCTAAATGGGTTAAGCCATTTTCAACTGATTTTGATAGTTTGTTCTTATGTTGTGATGTAATACCATTTTTATACGACTGCAAAAAAATGTTTGCGTTCGTATAATGCTATCATGTCGTCGTAAGCGTCATCTTCATCCAAAGACACATTTGGTTTCCCGACAATAACTTTTGTTTAGTGAATGGATCGCTATGAAATTTTACCTGAAGGTTTAATACCTCAAAAGGAAGGTTGGGATTGATTTTGGAAGTTATGTTACCAACAGTTTAGGAATTAGGGGCCAAAAACAAGCATTTTTGTAGTTTCCGGACAATAACTTGTGTGTAAGTGTATGAATCTCTCTGAAATTGTACCACAAGTTCCATATCATAAAGAGAAGGATGGAATTGAGTTTGGAGGTAGTTGCCCCAACGGTTCAGGAATTAGGGGCAAAAAAGTTGCAGAAAACAAGCATTTTTCTAGTTTCCAGACAGTAACTTGTGTTTAAGGGTATGGATCTCTCTAAAATTGTACTTCAAGGTTCCATACCACAAAGGGAAGGCTGGGATTGAGTTTGTGGGTAATTATTCCAAGGGGGGGTTCAAAAAGTTTGGGGGGGATTTTTTTTTCCAATTTCTTTTGGGGGTTTATATTTTTTTTCTTCAAAATTTTTATAATTTCAATTTTCAAGAAGAAATCTTCAATTGCACAGTATTGCACAATAGCACAGTATTGCAATAGCAAGAAATCTTCAATTGCACAGTATTGCAAAAGCAAGAAATCTTCAATTGCACAGTGTTGTGCAATAGCACAGTATTGTGCAACAGCACAGTATTGCGCTGCAACACAGTAATGCGCAACAGCACAGTATTGCGCAATAGCAAAAAATCTTCTATTGCGCAATTTCAAGAAATCTTCAATAGCACAGTAGAAATCTTCAATTGAACAGTATTGCGCAGTAGCAAGAAATCTTCAATTGAAAATAAATACAAATCTTTTAACCAATTTCAATGGGATTAATTTAAAGTTTTTAATTTTTGGGGTTCTAACCTTGTATTACTATTTTGGATATAGGGCCCCATTTATGTCTCGCCTTGATGGAGTCAAAAAGCGAGACATAGGTATGCTGTTTCTGGCGTCGTTGACGGCGGCAGCGGCGGCGTCAACAATGTATTAGTTTGTGATTAGGTCTAGTTCATGGTGAACCACTAGTGGTAGGTCAATGATATTTGGTATGCAGTTGTATTAGCATTGGCACATCTCATTACCATGGAGATTATTTGGCCCCGCCTCCTCAGTCAAGGTCTATTGACTTTGAAACTTTGCTTAGTTTACATGTATTAGTTTGTGATTAGGTCAGTTTATTGGGAACCACTAGTGGTAGGTCAATGATATTTGGTATGCAGTTGTATAAGCATTGGCATATCTCATTTCCATGGAGATTATTTGGCACCACCCCCTCTTTCATGGTGTATTGACTTTGAAACTTTTGCTTAGTTTTCATGTATTAGTTTGTAATTAGGTCAGTTTAAGGGGAACTGTTAGTGGTAGGTCAATGATAATTGGTATGCAGTTGTATAAGCATTAGCACATCTCATTTCCATGGAGAATATTTGGTCCCGCCCCCAGAGTCATGTTCTATTGACTTTGAAACTTTTGCTTAGTTTACATGTATTAGTTTGTGATTAGACCAGTTTAAGATGAACCGCTAATTAATGTTAAGTCAATGATATTTGGTATGCAAATTTATTGGCTTTTGCAAGTCTCGTTTCCATGGAGAATGTATAGCCCAACCCCTCATCATGGTTCATTGACCTTGAAACTTTTACATAGTTTACAATTCAATGTTTGTGTTTAGGTTTGTTGAAAGGGAACGACTTATGATAAGTCTATGGTATTTGGTATGCAGTTGTATTAGCATTGGCACATATCATTTCCATGGAGATTGTTTTGCCATGTACCTTCAGTCATAGTTAATTGACTTTGAATATTTGCATGACTTACATGTTAAAGTATTGCTATTTTAATTTCAACATTTGCATTATCAAAAGTACAAAAAGGCGAGACATATATCTGTGTTAACAGTTTATTAAATTGGTCTACATTGAGATCAAAAGGGTCCAAAATTAAACTTTGTTTGAAACATCAAAAACTGAATTATTGCGGCTGTATCATATGCTGAATCTTATTGTGCATTTAGATTTTTTATTTTGGGCCCTGTTTTCAAATTAGTCCATATATTATTAATTAGGTTTGAAGGGTCCAAAATTAAACTTTGTTTGATTTCAACTATAATTAAATTTTTGGTGTTTTTTTTATATGCTGAATCTAACCATTTTGATAGATTTTGGATATCAGACCATTCTAGGTAAATTAAATGTCCCATTTCAAATTTTTAAGGTCTTTGACTACATTTATTTTGTGTCAGAAACCTATATTATGTCAAAAACTTGATCACAATCCAAATTCAGACCGTATCAAACTTAAATATTGTGTCCAAACTTGCCCCAACAGTTCAGGGTAAGACAACTGCGGTCGTATCAAGATGCGCTCATCAAAGCATTTTATTCCGGGTTAGCAGAGGGTTGAGTGCTCACAAACATGTTTGACCTCGCCACATTCTTTATGTGCCTGTCCCAAGTCAGGAGCCTGTAGTTCAGTGGTCATTGGCTCATGTTGGTCATACTTGTTTTTCGGAAATTGTTTTGTTTTAAATTAGGCCATTAGTTATCTCAATTGAATTGTTTCATATTTTTCATGTCAAGGCCTTTTATAGCCGACTATACAGTATTTTTTTTTATACGACCGCAAACATTTTTTTTGCGTCGTATAATGCTATGGTGTTGTTGTCATCGTTGTCAGTGTCGTCCGAAGAAACATTTGGTTTCCGGACAATAACTTTAGTTTAAGTGAATGGATCTCTAGGAAATTTTACCAGAAGGTTCAATACCATAAAAACAAGGTTGGGATTGTTTTTGGGGGTTATGGTACCAACAGTTTAGAAATTAGGGGCCAAAAACAAGCATTTTTGTAGTTTCCGGACAATAACTTGTGTGTTAGTGTGTAGATCTCTCTGAAATTGTACCACAAGGTTCCATATCACAAAGGGAAGGCTGGGATTGAATTTGGGGGTAATTGCCCCAACGGTTCAGGAATTAGGGGCAAAAAAGTTGCCAAAAACAAGCATTTTTCTAGTTTCCAGACAGTAACTTGTGTTTAAGGGTATGGATCTCTCTAAAATTGTACTTCAAGGTTCCATACCACAAAGGGAAGGCTGGAATTAATTTGGGGGTAATTAATCCAAGGAGGAGGGGGTTCAAAAAGTTTGGGGGATTTTCTTTTTCCAATTTTTTTGGGGGTTCATATTTTTTTTCTTCAAAATTTTTGAAATTTTAAATGATTGCACAGTATTGCACAATAGCAAGAAATCTTCAATTGCACAGTATTGCGCAATAGCACAGTATTGGGCAATAGCAAAAAATCTTCAATTGCACAGTATTGTGCAACAAAAAATTTATTTGTTTGCAGAAAAAGTCAATCCTAAGTTGCTCTGTAGACGGTAAAATTTTAAATTAAAAGATATTTGTGCATTAATATACTCATACAATAATTTGTTCTTTGGAAATGCAATGTAAAATTATCATTTCCATGCCATAATAATTAAATAATGTCTAAATATCTGATGTTGTTAGCCTTTCCTGAAAAGTTATGTGTTTGATTATAATCAATTCGGGCTATAAAATCATCAATCCTGTAGGTAACTGCCTTTTCAGCACATTCGTGCTTTGATTTAAAGCTGCTTTTGGTTCTTATAAAAGAAAATTGTTTATTTTTACAGGATGTTGTAAGAGCTACCGCAACAACAGCAAACAGAGATAAAACAGAAGGGTTGTTAGATGGGGTGATGCAGGTTGCAGTTTGTGGGGTTTGTATTTGTATAGTTAAGTTAAGGTTTTGCAATATATACAGTATCATATATAAATTTTGCAGGTTTATTCTTCTTTTGCACATGAAACACTTTCCTTAATATTTATTTCATAGATAAACAAGAAAACACAATGCAACTTAAACGGTAATGGAATTCAACTTCTCCAAGAAATTGATCTTCCTCTCCAAACTCCTAGATTAGGCCCTGTCTAAGCAGATTTGTGCTTTACTACCAGTGACATCAAATGATATCACATTTGCATTGAATGTAGGAGACAGTGTAACTGCCATAGACTAGTTAGGGTTTAAGGTTGACTATCCTGCAAATAATGCATCCACATCAGCTGATTATCTATAGGATTCTATAGGAAACACAAAAACATTTCAATTGGATTTTATCAGCAACCGTGTTAATGGAAAAATCTGTGGTTATAGCATATAAATTTGAAAGTTAGTTTTTATTTAACAATAATTATCTTTAAACAAAATTCTGAGGACAATTTTTACAAAAACATGCAATTTGAAGTAAAATAAAAAAGTATTTGACCAGCATTCTATATATTTGGACATTTTGAATTAATTTGATCTATTGAAGTGGAAATGTTACATCTCTCATTTTTCATTAATATTCGGATGCAGTTCTGGCTTTAAATGCATCAATTCTTCATTAAAATTTTTAAAAAAGTATCACCAAATTATATACACTTTGGTTGATGCATAAAATTTTATTACTGCCACACATTTACATTTTGTGTTTAATTTCTGTCATAGCATTCAATTGAATTAATCAATGAAAAATGCCTCCACTTTTAGGTGACTAAGTACAATGTATTTGGTCCACAGGAATATAAAGATAAAGGAAAATAAAGAAAGCAAAACTTGAAACCTAATATCCTTGTCTTGTAATAATGTTCACTGAAATAAGATTTTAAAAAGATTTAAATTTTAATGAGGACAAGTTTATGAATTCTCTTACTAAAAAATAAATATGTCTGAAGTTTATCCTACCAGGAATGTGAATAAAACAAATTGCTGACTTTACCTTTAAGTTTACAATTTTATTGTATATAATACCATGTACTTTCTTGACAACCTTTGTATTTTATATATTTACAGGATAAAATAGGATGGAGAAATAAGGCCAGAAGAATGTTGATATATGCCTCTGATGTTGATTATCATTTTGCTGGGGATGGAAAGGTAAACAATACATTCCTTTAAATAACAAGAAATGGAATGTAGTTTAGTCATACCTTGACAGCCAATTATTATTCCTCAGTAACTATAGATAAGAGTTTAACAATATTTGGTATGTGAATTGGTTGTGAGGTCTGTTCCTTTGCAATGATTGCCAACAATTTTTGACCATTGGAACTTCTCTTTTATTATCCTTGCAAAAATATGATGCTTTCCGATTAAAGATGACGTAACTTTACACTTTTAAACGACCAATCAGTGACTGAAATTCATGTGAACTCTATTTAGCTAAAGGTAAACACAGGTTTTACATCCTTGTTTATCGTGACAGCAACTTGCCGACAGTACCACTCTCAACGCTTGTCTGTACAAATTTAAAAATTTTTTTTTTCTTTTTGAATTTTTTTTTTGTCAGTGAAGTAGCCAGTAGCCACCGTAAATAGTGAATTTTCGCCATCCACTGGCTACTTTGGAAAGCCCTGCTTGTTCTATTCTTTAATCTGTTAAGATAGTATTGTAAGATTTGATGTCCTTTATGTTTCAGTTAGCTGGTATTGTAAGACCTCACGATCTACAATGTCATCTTGCTCCGGATGGACCAAACATGAAATATACACACGATACCATATTGGTGAGTCATTTATATTGATGTTCATTTTTTTAACTTAGAACTTGAGCTAGGGCTGAAATTCAATAAGAAGACCTTAGGATAGCCGAATAACAGTTAACTGAAGCTAAAAAATAGTGGATGTATTATAAACTAATGCAGATGTGTACACACACTTGTGTTTATGTAAACTACATAGTTGTGTTTTATATTATACACTTATTGACTTGTTATGAGAGTAATAGCAAGTTTGTTGTACCTGAGATGCCAACTATTGCTCGAGATAAATCCTAATGCAATAATTGGTTTTGAAGAGACAATAAACTTGCTATTCCCCTCATAACCAGTCATTAAGTGTTGAATTATACAAGCAAAAAAATATTCACAGATATTTACGTACACCCCCTGGAAAATATTTACATAATAGTTATTGAAAAACTGGTCATTATCGTGATATATGGACTGCCCACAGGACAGTGGTATTGACTTAGAACGCGATAATGACTGAGCCGTAGGCGAGGTCATTATTGCTGTCACAGTCAGTACCACTGTCCTACGGGCAGTCCATGTATCACGATAATGACCAGTTTTTCAATAACTATTATGTTTATTTCATTGAGGAACCATGTTTTTAAAAATTCTCAAATATTCAAATTATTCAAAGCAAACTCGAGTTATTGTACGATTTCTATAGGAAAGAGTGAAGACCAGTCATAGTGATAACTATAAGTCACTGCCATTCATTTAAGTGCAATTTTTCAGTATATCATTTGAGTTGTCTGTAGCAGACATGCCTTCCAGTTCAGCCATGTTCCAAACGTCTGAATCGTGATTGCGTTTTATTAAAGGGACATCACTCTAAACAGAGAAACGATGCCCCACTGGTCATTAACATGTAAAAGTCCTTTACCCATCGGTTTTCTGGTCGGTTTTTTTCTGTTAAAGACTGATGTAATTTACTACTGAAGAATAAAGAATGTCATGTTGCCCCTTGTTATCCAATAAGAGAAGCTAATTCTTAACTGATATGAAATAAAGTCATATAAATAAGAACTTGATGTATGAGAAGGTATTTTTGGCCCTTGTGTTTATCGTTAATGTTTGAGTTACTGTAAAAAAAAACCAGGGATCCTTCTTTTAAAATTTCTATGTATATAATTGCTTGTATCTACAAAATATATCATCGTCCCCAAAAGTGTTCACAAATTAGAGATGACGAAGTCAGTCACATACCATACATTTGTTATATTGACCTAAATATGTCAGTTTTCATATAGATACTTTTGGATGTTTTTCATAATTCATGATAAGTAATTAAATGACTTATATTGATTTCTTGTTTTCAATATTTCAGTGTTTAAGATTACGATTCAAAAATCTCCAAGGTAAAATAAGTATTAAAAACTTCAGGAACTTTGATTGAAAAACTATTTATAGGGGTTATAGTCTTTGAATCAATTGACTGGCAAATAGTCTGTGGAATGAAATAGCACAAAGATTCATTTATTTATACATAAAAAAAAACATTCAGCAGTATTGTAATAAGATTTACTTTAAACTTCTTCAATTAATATTAATTCCATTTCATTCTGACAAACTTGGTAATATTTTGATGATTTAAGTTAAAATGATTCAATACAATTTTTAAATGGATATTTGACAGATTAATTGTGTTCGCTGCCTATAAGGACATACTGTATAGCGGGATATTTTCGCGGTTGTAAAATCTAGGGGCAACAAAGTATATAAAAACTTTTGGCGGTTTTTATTTTGGCAGACTCTTTAATCTCAATTATATATTTTGGCGGATACTGAAATGGTTGCAGTTAAAAAATGGTAAAAATTGACAAACAAGGATCTATTGTTATGGTTAAATGATTGTTTTACCTGCATGACGTATTATTTATTGATTATATTTTGATACAGTTAATCAATAGAATACTGGTACATAGTTATTTGTCACAGGTGTACATACTTCTTGTAAATGTTACGGTTGATTAGTTATGAAAGTGACCGGACCTTTGATGTACTAATAAGATTATAAAATTATCATGAGTGACTTGCAACTCTTATATAATTTGACACTAATTAATAAGGATAAAATACCTGACAGCGTACCTTACACTCTTATATTATTATTTATTTTATTATGTAACCAATCAACTAATTAACACCTGACAGCCAGTGACAGTTAAGTTATTTAAATTAACATAAACCGTTATTGATCCGTCAAACGGGAAAAAATAAATAGCTTACAAAACGCTTTAGCTATTAGAAAGTATCGAACGTATGCATAAATTTTCGCAGAATTTATTTTCGCAATTTCCCCCTGACCCACGAAAATAACCCGCTATACGGTAATTTACATGCTTTTATTTTTAGGTATAGTTACTTCATTGTCACTGTTAACAATACCATAGAAAAACTATTGCTAATGTAATAGCATCCTTCACTTATTTAAGTATATGTATAATGAGCAGCTAAATAACAATGCGATAAAAAACAGGATATGTTTATTGAAATCAATATACTTTCACAGATAATTTTTCTTAGATGTATAGAGTGGTGGGCCATATTGACCGAGGACACATTTTCTCTGTTTGGCAATTTTGGGGAAATTTGGCATTCTTTTTTCCCTGATGCCTGTCAAGATGGAAGGGGTGTGCTATTTGTTTGCTTTAACAGTGACCATGTCAACAATTCTAACACATTTTATGTAATGTGGTAAGTTTAAGAAGGGACATATGAGTAAACTCGCCAAAATAAATGTTTTAATGCTTTGGGAGTTACTGTTCTATTGTTCTTGCTTCACAGATTTCTGTATACATGTATATAAATACAATATTTGTTTTAGGACTTCCCATCAGTTGGACAGATCATAAAAGTAGTTACAGAATTCTATATAAATATAATATCTGTTTTAGGACTACCCATCAATTGGACAGATAAGAAAAGCTATAACAGATAACAATATAAATGTAATATTTGTAATTGATGATCGTGAGGGCTACAAAAATTATTATGTCAAGCTAAACCCCGATATCCCAGGATCCTTTACAGAAGAGTTATCTCAAGATGCTACCAACATCCTGTCCATTATAAGAACTACCTATGAGGTTTGTATTGTAGAATGAGGACAATTCTTCAACAAAACACAGGCTTTAGTTTGATTGTCACACTGAATATTGCAGCATGTAGACTTTTTATTTGTTGAATATCTGATTTGTTGTTCTGAAATTATGAGCTTTGAATTGTTAGAAATTTTAAAACTACAAAACTCAAGTTTTTCTTAATGGATCTTTATGATATACTGTTATATGGTTAAGATCTATGAATACTAGATGAATACTAGATGAATACAAGATTGACTTGACTTAGTCCTATTTGTCTTTTGGAGAACATGCAACTGTCAACTCAAACACAAGACTGCCTATAGTATTTTATACTTAAGTAAGGTTAACGTTGATTATGAGAGAATTTAAAAGAATATAATATGTGGTACATTATTTAGAATTTGAATTGGTTACCTTGAAATATTCATTTTCTCTTTTACAGAAACTGAGAAGTACAGTAAATTTTGTTAATGAACCTTTCGAAAACATTGCCACAGAATACTGGTCAGCTTGTGGAGGGTAAGTTATAAACAAAAAGTGTTTACTTTAGGCAATTCCATCAGTGGCCTTGCTCTAACTGATAACTGTTCTTATAAATGGAAAGATTAACAGTGCTGACATTTATTTATTAGAATTGTCAAGTAAAACTGATAACTACTTCAATACACATAACAATCGTTGCATGAAGTCAAATTGGCATGGCTAATACTGTGAAAAAATGAAATGATATATAATCCAATATGTAAATTAGATAGATGCTATACCCACACTAGTATTATTGAGGTTTCTCCAATTCATGTAGGCTTCTGATCACTTTCTTGTTATCTATTGTCAGATGAAATGTAAAAAAAAATAGAAAATAAATAAACCATGTGATCTTCAGAGTAGATTTTTTTTGTATTTCAGGAGAAAATCTCAAACTGATCAAAGATCAACATGTTCCAATATAACAGTAGGCAACACTGTAAGTTTATATTTAGTCAGTTTAAGGTAGATCAGGTGTCTTTTTCTGAGCATCTAATCTGGGCATGTTGCAAAAATATATTTTCGGTTTAAAAATATTTTTCCAGGTATCTTTCAACATGCAACAGAAGCATCTCATACTGGAAATTAAAAGATTAAACTTTTTAAAAAATTAGGTGTCGTTAAGAGTTAACTGTCATTTCATTAATTTCAATATAATTTAAAGAAAATACAAGGTCTGTGACCCCCAGTTTTTATATTCAAATTTGAAAGTACATTGACACAGAAGTCTTTTACAGAAGTTTAAGAAAATCAATCGTCAGAACATTTAGACACCCCAGCTACCTTAAAACAAATCAATTTGGTATTATTCCCATAAAAAGTAACTAGTAAAATTGAAGGATTCCTTTATATAATATCATTGTTTATTTAGAACAAATCAGCCACAGATGACTCATTCACTCATTATGGTATAATTTTTATGCCCCCACCATAGCGAAGGGGGCATTAAGTTTTACTCTTGTCCGTCTGTACGTCAGTCCGTATGCCAGTACGTACATACGTCCCGAAATTGGTTTCCGTTTTCTAACTTTAGTTTACCTCAACTAAATGTTATGAAATATTATACGCAATGCTTATTACCACAAAACACAGATTTTATTTGAATGTTGGTGGCGTCACTTTTACTGTTCTAGAGTTATGCCCCTTTACAAATGGAAAAATTGCTGAATTTTTTGTTTCTGTTCTCTAACTTAAGTTTGCCTCAACCAAATGTTATGAAACTTATACATAATGCTTATTACCACAAAACACAGATCAAGTTTAGATTTGTATTGCGTCACTTTTATCTTTCTAGTGTTATGTTCCTCTACAAATGGAAAAATTGCTGAATTTTTTGTTTCCATTCTCAAACTTAAGTTTGCCTCAACCAAATGTTATGAAACGTATATACGACGCTTATTACCACAAAACTCAGATCCATTACGAATTGGGGTAGTGTCACTTTTACCATTTTTGAGTTATGTCCTTTTATAACAGTATATGCAAGCAGGGGCATCATCTGTGTCCCGTGGACACATTCCCCATTCATTTTATATTATTTTCTTTTCAAACCCCCATATATCTGAGGACTTTGTCAAGATAAAAACAATCAATGTATCAAATAATTACTTTTATAAATCAATGGGAAGAGAAATATTTTGTATTGTCTTCTAAAGAGCATTTAATGCTTTTTGAGCTCGGTCAAGCAATTTTTCTAAGGTTTATGAGAAAATGAAAAACAAAAAGGAAAACTCGAGTCAGGTTTTTGAGGTCAAATCATGTTGCATAAGAATCTTTTTAAACATATTGGGATGCTATGAAATTCAAATTAACTAATTTATAGTTTGACGTACTTGAGGTACTGGTTTTATCAGCTTTGATAATCATAGTTTGATATACTTGAGGTACTGGTTTTATCAGGTTTAATAATTAAAGTTTGATATACTTGAGGTACTGGTTTTATCAGCTTTGATAATCATAGTTAGACATACTTGAGGTACTGGTTTTATCAGCTTTGATAATTAAAGTTTGATATACTTGAGGTACTGGTTTTATCAGCTTTGATAATAAAAGTTTGATATACTTGAGGTACTGGTTTTGTCAGGTTTGATAATCATAGTTAGACGTACTTGAGGTACTAGTTTTATCAGCTTTGATAATCATAGTTTGATATACTTGAGGTACTGGTTTTATCAGGTTTAATAATTAAAGTTTGATATACTTGAAGTACTGGTTTTATCAGCTTTGATAATCAAAGTTAGACATACTTGAGGTACTGGTTTTATCAGGTTTAATAATTAAAGTTTGATATTCTTGAGGTACTGGTTTTATCAGCTTTGATAATCATAGTTAGACGTTCTTGAGGTATTGATTTTATCAGCTTCGATAATCATAGTTTGATATACTTGAGGTACTGGTTTTATCAGCTTTGATAATCATAGTTAGACGTTCTTGAGGTATCAGGTTTAATAATTAAAGTTTGATATACTTGAGGTACTGGTTTTATCAGGTTTAATGATTAAGGTTTGATATACTTGAGGTACTGGTTTTGTCAGCTTTGATAATCATAGTTTGATATACTTGAGGTACTGGTTTTATCAGGTTTAATGATTAAAGTTTGATATACTTGAGGTACTGGTTTTGTCAGCTTTGATAATCATAGTTTGATATACTTGAGGTACTGGTTTTATCAGGTTTAATAATTAAAGTTTGATATACTTGAGGTACTGGTTTTATCAGGTTTAATGATTAAGGTTTGATATACTTGAGGTACTGGTTTTGTCAGCTTTGATAATCATAGTTTGATATTCTTGAGGTACTGGTTTTGTCAGCTTTGATAATCATAGTTTGATATACTTGAGGTACTGGTTTTATCAGCTTTGATAATCATAGTTTGATATACTTGAGGTACTGGTTTTATCAGGTTTAATAATTAAAGTTTGATATACTTGAGGTACTGGTTTTATCAGCTTTGATAATCATAGTTAGACGTACTTGAGGTACTGGTTTTATCAGCTTTGATAATTAAAGTTTGATATACTTGAGGTACTGGTTTTGTCAGCTTTGATAATCATAGTTTGATATTCTTGAGGTACTGGTTTTATCAGGTTTAATGATTAAAGTTTGATATACTTGAGGTACTGGTTTTATCAGCTTTGATAATCATAGTTTGACATACTTGAGGTACTGGTTTTATCAGCTTTGATAATCATAGTTAGACGTACTTGAGGTACTGGTTTTATCAGCTTCGATAATCATAGTTTGACATACTTGAGGTACTGGTTTTATTAGCTTTGATAAATACAGCAGCTGATTGTTCAGTTTGTTTATTGAAGTTCTTTAAAAGACATTTGTTTATTCTACTCGTAGCGAGGGGTTTTATGGGTTCAGGCAAACCCACCTTGAAAACAATAATACTATTAAAAGACTTTAAAAGACGAGAATGTTGTGACCCCAAATAACCCCCCTGAGACACATTGTGGCTAAAGCCTACTAATGTTCAGAGTAACAGTATTAAGTTTTCCTCTTGGCAGTGTAAAGGGTTAATACTTAAATATCTCTGATTTTATGGGAAACCAAGCAGACAGTAGATGGGGTTTGTTTTGTGGAAAAAATATACAATTGCTTAAAGGTCAGCCGTTCATATTTTTTCAGATAGAATTTGAGTTTCGTATGACCCTCAATATCAACAAATGTCCTGATAACGTAAATGAAAGGACTGTGAAATCCTCAATCCATCCTGAGGGTCTAGAAGATAGATTAGATGTAAATGTGGAGTATATATGTGATTGTGATTGTCAGGCTCCGGACCAAGCAGTAAGTCTAGTGTTATATTTTATATGCATATTTTATTTTACAAATATTTAATATTTTATGAATAAAAGGAGATGTTGGGTATACATAAAAGAAACAGTAAACCAATGTCACCCAAAAAATATAACGAAAGTCATCTCAAGGTCAACAATAAACATTTTAAAACATTTTTTTCTATCAAACACATTGATGATAATTTGATTTCAACAATATCAACTAAGACATCACCATTTTAATATTCTGTTGATGTAAAGGTTATGCAGGTGAAATTTATCTTGTTTCTTTGAATAGGACTAATGATACTTCACATTAAAACAAATGGGTATATTAGAAAAACAAAGGATATGGGGTATCCATCATCACACAAAATCAATACATGCACAGCAAAAACACACCAAAAGCAAAGGAACAGCACTTTTATTGCTGTTCTTCATCTCAAAGTCACAGTGAGGCCTTCAACACACATCAATAAACTCTCACCTCACTGCAAATTTTAGACAGCCCCTAGCAGATGTATGAGTAGCTTTCTTTGCAAAGTAATTTGGATAAATTTTGTGATGTAACACCACCAAATCGGGCCCGGTCAAAAATAACTTACTGGAAAGTAGTACATATTTAAAACAAAATAGTTCCTATGCATAGGTGTAAATATCAAACTATGTAGAATATTTTGGTAATTTAGGTATCAAATGAAAGATGAAGGACTGGTGATTCTTGTAGAACATATTTTGATTAATAAATTTTGAATAATACAAAAAAGTATGAATGAATTCTAAAATTGAGGGCATATATAAAGCCTGTTTCTCAGATATGAAATACTAGTTTGGTGTATCCAAAGTTCTGGTAACCATTACGATCGGATGTGTAAATAACAGTTTATTGCCCCCCTCCCCCCCCCCCATAAATGTTTAAAAGTGGAAAATTTAACGTGGATAGGAATGAAGGCTTAAAATAGGTGGTGTGCATCTTTTGAAATATTGGTACACAAACTGGCCTAAAATTGAGAGAATGATGTGGCACATATTAGAAAAGTTATCTCAAGAATAAATACACTACAACTTTAATAATACAGAAGAGCATACACCTCAAGTACAGGGAAACTTTCTACGGCCTCCACACAGCAAGAGAGACAAACTCCATTCATATATATTAGAAAAACAAAGGATATTGGTTATCAATCAATGACACAAAATCAGTACATGCACAGCATATTGTATATTTGATTCAAGAAATGAAAAAAATAACAATTTCCAGTGCAAACAAGTCTATATAAATAAAGATGCATCTGAAAAATAATAAGTGTTAAAACAAATTAAAACTCCCAAGAAAACTTTGTAAGTTCCATAGATACAAAATGGTTACATGTTATATGAAGCCCAGCTACTGGGAAGAAACCCTTAAAATTCACATAACTAAATATATTGATTAACATGAGAGGTTTATTTTTTATTACTTTATTTGCAGTATTATAGGTACAATGGATATGTATCTAATTTAAACTATTGTCCAGAAAAGTGCTTCGGACGCATTAAATTTATAATGTATTGATTTCATTTTTTGTGTTGATGTCTTTTCCAAATTAAAGGCTTTTCTTAATTGAAAGGTATTGTAAGTAAATTTAAATTACCATGTTATCATGTTCTTATTTCTAAGTATATATGATAAGTTTGTTTCTGAAATTTCTAGCAAAAAACCTAAGTCTAGGCACATCATGATTTACTCGCATAGGGATTTTCAAATAAACTTTTGTAAAGATTTGCAGTGAAACAGATGAACTCATACTATATTTATAAAACAAAAATTGACAAATTGAATGTAATCATTTTCTTTTCAAATACATGAATTAGCCAATAATAATAAAAAAAAAAGGAAAAATCCTCTATTATTACAAAAATATCCACAATAACATACAAAATAAGAAAAGGGGAAAAACTAAAGAATAGGGACAACAAAAAGAGAAAACAGGGATTCAAACCTAAACTGATAAGTCTCTACTTTTAAGTTGACTCTATAACTTATTGATCTTAACCTGGCAGCTACCAACTTATACTATATGATTGTCTATTATGTCACGGGACATAACATATTTCAAGGAGAGGTTCAATTCCCAGTGAATTACAAAAGTTAAAGGTAAGTTTTGAAATCAATTCCATTAGTGAACAGAAATCAGTAAATTAGCCAATTCAAACTTCATGAAATTAGGCACACAAAGGAAACAATTGAATATAATATGTTGAGTCCATTTCAGCGATAGATATAGGAAGCGTTGATTCTAGAAAAAGAAACCACGGTAACTGAATAGGCTGACGACACAGCAATGGTTTAAGTCAAGTTAAAGTTAAACTGATAAGTGTATAAGATGTATATATCATGCATTTATTGTGTAGTGGTCACCTCCCCTGATAACATTTTTGTTGAATGAAAATGAACATTTGATACATTTATGTTTTCTCTGTTCTGTATAATTACAATACTTTTAACAATAACTTAGATTTCCATTATCATTTTATTACTATTTATGTGCTTTGCAATTTTCAAAAAAAGGCTTCTTTTAATTTTTTTGATGATGATTTGTAGATAGAGAATTCAACAGAATGTAATGGACAGGGACGATTGGAGTGTGGTGTATGCCACTGTTATGATGGTTGGTCAGGTGATGAGTGTGATTGTGACATTAGTAAGACACAAGAAGAAACATGTGGACAGACGTAGGTTATTTTTCTTACACTAAATATGTCTAAATGAAGACCTTAAACACATTTCATTTCACACACAAGACCAGAATTTCCTTTAACTAGATTTTTGTCTTATCCTCTCACACTGCTGGAAATAATGGGGTATACATCAGTGAGACAGCATCCCAACAACGAAAGAAAACACATTCTAAAATCTAAAACAAAGACATAGAGAGGTCAATATATAATATTTACCAACATACCAGTTAGTCTAAATCATCAAGAATTTTGAAAAATAGTGAATAAATTAAAAGAGCCAATCAACGATCTGCCATAAACACAAAATATCCTGAATGACAAACTTTAAGATGTAAATACAGACATCTGTGACAAGTTTTCTAGCATGCAACCCTCCCCCTTTTATTTTAGATATATTAAGATATTGTTATACTGTAAATTCAGAAATTATTGTGTGCATTTATTATTGGGAAATTTGAAGAATTGACAAAAATCCAAGATTAATTATTGCGATTTTGTGATTTAAGGAAAATCTACGTACAAATATATGTATCAGATTACAGTAATAATAAAAGAATAAATCTGGGGTAAGAGGAGCACATTTAAAAAAACATATAGGACTAATGTTGACCACATTCTATTGACTTTTTCAGCACTGATGGTGTCAATTATATTATATGCAGTAATGTAGGGGAGTGTCAATGTGGTAAATGTGTATGTCCTGCTGACTACACTGGGGACTACTGCGAATGCTACAACAAGGGATGTGGTGGATATATTGGAACAGGGGAACTTTGTAATGGTAGGTATTATTAATATTGACGTAAAATACGAAGAAAACTGAATATGTGACATGCTTAAATGATTTATAATAACATACTAAGTCAGGTTTGGACGCAGTTATTGATTTTCTTACTTTTATTTAAGAAAATGGGCTTTCAACAAATTCTTATCATTGTTTGTTTATGTTTTCATGTTTTGACGACTTTACTTGCACTAAAAAAATTATATCATATATACAGACATAAATGTTATGTAGTATTCGTTGACCATGCCTACTGTTACTTTCTCTACTAAAAAGTGAAGGTCAGTGCTCTCAGTTTTTGTGATATTTTTATTAACAAGAAAAATGGATTATTAATACACAGCATGTTGACATGTATCATCGCACATGCATTACCTGTCCTTTATTGCCAATTGGTTATTTTAGTTCAGCTTATATCTATTAATAACAACCAATGATATAAGGAATTCCCTACTGGCCACTCTTGACATCTCGCTCTCTAATTGCTTTGTGAGATGTGGGAAGGGAACCAATCAGAACAAGGCCCTTATTTCAAATTATCCAATCAGCAGAGATAATTAATTAATTATCATCCTTTTGTTTTGATTACTGTGCGCCTCATTTAGGCATTCTAGATAATACAACTGCATGAAGCAGACCCATTGCAATTTGGCATTAGCAAATTTATTGCTCCATATCAACTCAAGTTATTTATTTTCAATACTGTTATAACTGAGCTTTTAGCAAGTTTATTGTTATTTTTGAAGTAAAAATGTGTCTACCAGTATGCTTTTGATTGTAATGATATATTGTTTTACAATATATTTATAGGGAATGGTGTGTGTCAGTGCTCTAATTGTGTTTGTAATGAAGGTTACAATGGTACAACCTGTGACTGCCCTACATCAACAGATGCTTGTACTAATTCTAATGGGGTATGTATATTCACACACCTAAAGATACATTTGTATCTGGTTTCAAACCTGAAAATGGATAGAGTGGGTTTTAAAAGGCATTGCTTACCGTGTGCACACAGTTTTGTTGACCAACCTGAAATAGAATTCACATTTATTCATTCTTCAGTGGTTTCAAGATCAAAATAATGTGAAAATAAGGAGATGTGGTATGATAACCAATGAAACAACTATCCATCAAAGTTCAAATAAAGTATGTTGATGCTTGATTTCAAATTGATAATTAATTAAATACGATTGAACATTCCTAAAAAGCAGTATTTAAGCAGATTGTATTTGAAATCAATTTACTAAATTTAGTAAATACCTAGAAAAAATTAAAATGATCAGTAATGCCGAAAACACATAATTAACAGCGCCTGGGGATGATTCATAGCCTGACAGGTTTTGGTCCTTCATGGACCTTTTTCAGAGGCAGAATGATGGATTGATAGTCACAGCACTCTATTTATATAGTCTGACAGGTTTTGGTCCTTCATGGACCTTCTTCAGAGGCAGAATGATGTATTGATAGTCACAGCACTCTATTTATATAGTCTGACAGGTTTTGGTCCTTCATGGACCTTCTTCAGAGGCAGAAAGATGGATTGATAGTCACAGCACTCTTTTTATATAGCCTGACAGGTTTTGGTCCTTCATGGACCTTCTTCAGAGGCAGAATGATGGATTGATAGTCACAGCACTCTATTTATATAGTCTGACAGGTTTTGGTCCTTCATGGACCTTCTTCAGAGGCAGAATGATGGATTGATAGTCACAGCACTCTATTTATATAGTCTGACAGGTTTTGGTCCTTCATGGACCTTCTTCAGAGGCAGAAGGATGTATTGATAGTCACAGCACTCTTTTTATATAGTCTGACAGGTTTTGGTCCTTCATGGACCTTCTTCTGAGGCAGAATGATGGATTGATAGTCACAGCACTCTATTTATATAGTCTGACAGGATTTGGTCCTTCATGGACCTTCTTCTGAGGCAGAATGATGGATTGATAGTCACAGCACTCTATTTATATAGTCTGAAAGTTATCCCTTACCGAATAATTAAACATTATCAGTTTCATCTGTTCAGTTCAATATCCAGTGGAAAATTTACGGTAAACTTCTTTCAACTTTTTTTGCATGTTACGAATAACATTAAACAGAAATTACAAGATCAATATAAACAGCGTGTTTGTCAGATGTAGATGTATTCTATGCTTCAGAATTTATTTTCGAAAAACATTTTAATCTTTTGCCAAATAATCATTTATAAACTTAGTACTAGTATGTAAATCTAGATGTGGTAGTCACTGATTGCCTTGCAGTTGGTTGACTTTTATGGAATATCTGTTTCCCACATGACAATAATTATATAGGTTACAGCAAAAATCTAACCAACATTTGGGCTCCTATAGTGACTTCATTTGATTTATATATGGTAAGCATGCAGTCTTGATTTGCACCAAGCTCAAGAGGTAGATTGATCTAGGCTCCAAATGAAATGGTTGAGCCAATGTTATTTCCACAAATCAAAACAATTCAAGCAATACCATACAACTTGAAACTTATCAGATCTTCACTAAATTACTTAACATTTTTCCCCTTAATTCAAATGGTAAAAAAGGGTGTACTGATTATATATGAGTATGGATTGCAAAACTTATTAAAGGTCATAATCATTTCTGGAATGCAACATATTAAAGGGCCATTAGCTATGATTTAGATAAAATTTAAACTACGATTCTTTTTGTTTCAAGTATTACTAAAAGCAGAATTCTTATATAATACTTCTTTTATATTGTCAAAATAAGCTCAAAAACATCACTAATGTATTATTAACTTGCAAGTTGAATCCGTATTCATGTGACCTTCAGTTTGACCCTTTATATCTGGTTATGGATGTACTAGGAGTGTTCAGCTATTAAAAGGAAAAGAATGTCAATATTAAAAGTGAAGCAAGGGTGAACTATTTGAGTGACTGATTCAATCCACAAAAATTCATTCTTATACAGGTAATAACAATGATTAACATATTTTTTATGCCCCCACCGTAGCAGAGGGGGCATTCAGTTTTACCCTTGTCCGTCTGTACATACGAATGTACGTATCCCAAAATTGGTTTCCGTTATCTAACTTTAGTCTGCCTCAACCAAATGTTATGAAACTTATACACAATGCTTATTACCACAAAACACAGATCAAATTTCAATTTTGGTGGCGTCACTTTTACCGTTCTAAGTTACTAAGTTATGCCCCTTTACAAATGGAAAAATTGCTGAATTTTTTGTTTCCGTTCTCTGACTTTAGTTTGCCTCAACCAAATGATATGAAACTTATACACAATGCTTATTACCACAAAACACAGATCAAGTTTCAATTTCGGTGGCCTCACTTTTACCGTTCTAGAGTTATGCCCTTTAAAAATGGAAAAATTTCTGTTTTTTGTTTGTTTCTGTTCTCTAACTTTAGTTTGCCTCAACCAAATGTTATGAAACTTATACACAATGCTTATTACCACAAAACACAGATCAAGTTTGAATTTTGGTGCCGTCACTTTTACCGTTCTAGAGTTATGCCCCTTTACAATTGGAAAAATTCCTGAAATATTTGTTTTTGTTCTCTAACTTTAGTTTCCTCCAACCAAACGTTATGAAACTTATGCACAATGCTTATTACCACAAAACTCAGATCAATTTCAAATTTGGGTAGCGTCACTTTTACAGTTCTTAAGTTATATCCCTTTTATAAATTCATGTTCACCGATATGACTCAAATTCTCATATTTCATTTATAACATACTAAAACATTATCCAAATTACAATACGTCTGAAATAAACAATTAGCAATGCATGGACTCCATAATATACTTCAACATTTCGTGTGTATTTTAGTCTAGATGCCATCTAATTAACCATCGGGATGACCTCCGAAGACTGCCGACGGTCACATATCCCGATAAAAACATAAACATAAATATAAATAGATAGCGACCTCGTGCAATTGGACTTTTCTAGGTCTATTTCACTTTCAATAATGATTGAACAAAAAAAAAATCATATTTTAATTTTTTTTATATCTCGTACACATGAAATGCTGATACATATTATCATGTCTAAGCATTGTTAATTGTTTATTTTAGACTTTTTGTAAGTTAGATATAAGTTTAAGTATGTTATAAATCAAATTTAAGTCAAATCTGTGAACACCAATTTAACAGCTAATGCCCCTTTTAAATTGAAATGATTTTGATGATACAAACATGCATTTTCTCAAAAATTGACCATGCTACTCAAGTCCGAAACAATAAATTTATACTGAAAATTTCAATATTATTATGAATTATGAATGAAATCTGAATAACGATACCAACATTTCTTTTTATTATCAAATGTCAGTAAATCCTTATATTTTATATTGGTCAAAGTGTTTTAACATAACTGATAATTGTTTTACTGGTGATATGTGTTTGTTTGTTATATTATTTGGTGCCATGTGAAAAAGGAACTTCAATGTTATCATTTACTTGTTCAAACAGGGAAAACACTTTCATTCATGCATATTTCTTAGTATACAGCAAATGCCTATTTTCCAGTGCTTTCACGCTATGATTTAATTTAAATATGAACCTTTTTACTTGAATGGAAGTGTCATATGTGTAAATGATTGATAAAATGAAAATTTGGGAGAACTGATAGGATTTTAACCTTTCCAATTTTATTTTCATCTTAGAATTGTTCTCAATGTCATCATTCCCGATTTTAAGAAAGGGATGCATTCTGAATTTAAGGCATATAATAAACATAGTTGTTTAATTTAATTGCAGAAGTATAACACCATTTTAATCATCTACCATTAACTTTTCACATATTTTTATATGTTTTTTCAGACAATATGTTCAGATCGTGGTCAGTGTGTTTGTGGAAAATGTGTGTGTGATGATAACAACTATCGCGGATCACAATGTCAGGAATGTCCAGTAAGTAACAACAATAATACTGCACAAAAAAAAAAACAAAAAAAAAACTAACAGAAATTTGTCAAAACTTTGAACTCTTTTATTTACTCTTTATTTCCAATTTCTTTGTGTTGTATAATTAATTTATAGCATTATTGTAGTTCTCCTTCTGTTGTGAATGGTTATAGTTAAATTTTACATTTCAAACATATGAGTTTTAGCAAGATTGAAGAAATATTGTTACTCAAAAGCAAACAGAGGGAGAATTGGTTTCTCCAATATGTTTTTCAATCTTTCAATAGTAACAGCAGTGATAAGACAGCATTGACACCATGGCCAAGGAAGCAACAATTGATGAGATGTCAATGAGCCACCAATCATAGCACCTGAAATTATTAGTGCACAAGACAATATAACTTACAAGAAGTTATTTTAGCCAAATGGCTGAGGTTGCATAAAAGTACCCTACAATGCGAGAAAACAAATTATCAATAACTTTTGATACATGAATATTGAATTAATTGTAGCATTGTAGAATATAGACGTTGGCTTATGACATCTTCCTATTCTTATTATACTGGACTGAGAAAAAGCATTCTAAATCAAGTTACTTTAAATTGAAAGAGCTGAGAATTAATGAAAACTGTACAAACAGCAATATCAACATTTTAACTTGTAATTCCAGTGAAATAATAACTTCATCCATTATTTTTTGGCAAGCGTGTGTATCAACACATTGATTTGATTAAATATTTCTATTTATTCACACTGTTTATAGTTTGATGGGTAATAATGTCAGATCGATTGTATTTTTACTTGTAGTTTGAATGCAGTGGTTCAGATTAGACCGATAGAGATTGTTAGGATTGAAAATAATGTATATGCTAACTAGTTTTATTTAGATCAATTCAAATTTAGATTAATTAAAAAAATGCTAGTGTGAACGTGCTCTAACTCTATGATTGTTCTTTTAAGGAAGTGTAGATTAAAAATGTGTTAATGTGTTGTCCATTTGAATTTAAAATACTTCTTTGATTGTAGACTTGTCCGGGGCAGTGTAAAGCAAATCAAGACTGTGCAGAATGTGTTGGCTTCAAACAGGGTAAACTCATTGAATCCGAATGTACGACACAATGTTCCCATGTGGATACTGATGCTGTATTACCAAGTAAGTGTAGGGGGAAATAGTAACTGCTTGTTATATCTTTACAAGGCAGGTGGGATGATGTGAAAATGTATAAACTTATTTGTGAGGCTTAATATTTTTCATAAATACAATATTGTTATTTTATTCAATCTTACACTAGAAATTTATAGGTTATCTATGGTATTTTAAACAAGAGGGTGTTTCTCAGCTACAATCTCATCAAAGGGCGAAACCCTGAAATGAGATGTAGCCAAGAACATCGAGTTTGAAAGACCATCCATGATCTGTTTATCACTGTTTTTGCTAGCAATGTCAATGACGTAGGCTCATGGCATCATATATTCTCATTCTATTTGACTGAGAAAAACCAATATCACTTGAATTGGGGATTGAGCAGTTTAATTCACAGAAAATTGGGAATAATCAGTTAAATCGTATGGAATTCGGGATAAAATTATATCGTGATGCAGGAACGGTCACATTATTTTCATGGGAATTCAGTATTTGGCTCTTTTTTCTCTTGAATTTTGGGATTCCCTGCTACCCCTACCCACCCTCCCTTTCCTCCCCTCTCCCCCAAAGATCAAAGGAAAATTTGAGAAAACTGATGATTTACAATATTTTTTTAAAAGATATAACTTTTTTATTATATTACATTGTAATATTTCTGTCATCAGGTGACCATGCTCATCACAACGATATTTATATTTAAATAAAATAAAAGGGTTAAATAGATAAATAGATAAATGCAGAAATAAAATTGATATATTTCTTCATATTCTGGAAAAAAGGATATCTGCATTCCCAGTTTAGATATATTGATATCTAAGAAAGGAACTGGGTTTATTGCTGTTCTTTGTCTTGGTAGTAACTGTAATGTTGTCACCAAACAGAAAGATAAAGACAGTGTCTAGCTTCAAATTTCTTTAAATACTCATATTAACTGTTATAAATGTTTTTGAAGATACATATAGAGGAGATATTGGTGAGACCTTCCTAATAATTATAGAATAACTAATCCAAGAATTCAAATATCGAAAAACATTCAACAAATGGCCAAACAACACATTAATTCACAAGTGCGTGTAGAGCATGAGTTAATTATCAGTGTTGTTAGGTCACAAGTTGAATATTTTTTATATTATAGTTATATTTTTATTACATTTACCATGGACTTTTTAATGGAAATAAAGTAGAAAATGATAGGAACTATATCTTTTTCTACATATTCTCAATTGTTTTGGATGCATCATCTACAACATCTTGACAACACTCATTGTTGTATGACATCAGAGGAGTAAAATTATCGGTTTTAATTTGACGAGGAAATCACGGTAATTTATTGCAACCAATGTAATAATATTATGTATTTTCAGTTGAAAATGTTACCAAGTGCCAGTTCTTTGATGATGAAGGATGCCAGATTGAGTTTACTTATGAGTATGATGAAGAATTTCAACTTAAAGTTGTAGTAAAAGATACAAAAAGTAAGTATTCATAATTGTACAGTAGATAGCTTGCTTATTTAAGGAGACTTTGAAGTGGGCAATTTTAATGAGTTTGACTGTTTTGCAATAAATATAAATTTGTTAAAATATCCCTTTGCATAAGTTATACTTTTTTGGATTTTATTATCATAATTTGAAAACATGAAAATTAAACCTCACAAAGAGGAGTTTCAAGTATTAAACTCCACTAAAATGAGCTGATATACAGTATTCAATGTAAATTTACTGGTTTCCTGTGTTATCAGTTGAATGTGTCTGATTGAGTGATATATACTGTTATATAAAACCTTGTATTTTTTAAGGATGTTTTGCTAAAAGAATAGGTGACCTCAGTAATGAAGCAGATCCCTCATCATCGTCAGTCGTCCTTTAACTTTTACAAAAATCTTCTCCTCTGAAACTACTGAACCAAATTTAACCAAACTTGGCCACAATCATCATTAGGGTATTTAGTTTAAAATATGTGTCCGATGACCCCCCCTGCCTACCAAGATGGTCGACATTGCTAAAAATAGAACCTAAGGGTAAAATGCAAGTTTTTTCTATTATTTTGAAAACTGTTATGAATAGAGAAAATCTGACAGGACAAAATGTTGAGAATGTTGAGCTCTACCAATTGTTTATTGAAGTCAAAACTGTCAGGCGACTTCTTATAGGAGTTACTGCCCTTAAATGACAAATTTTTCCATTTTTTTTCATTTTTGCCTTTTATCTTAAAAACTATAATAGATAGAGAGAAACTTCAAATTGCAAAACTGATCAGCAAGACAAGATCTACTAGTAATTATGCATAGTCGAAATCGATCAGCAAGTTAATATCTACATTTAAGGGAATATGGAAAAATTTTTATGACGACTCCTTATTGGAGTTATTGCCCTTTAATGAAGATTTTTACCAATGTTTTTGTGTTTTGCCTTATATGATAAAATCATAATAGATAAATAAATAGAAACTTTGAATAACAAAAATGATCAGCAAGGCAAGATCAACAAACAAGTCAAATTTTACCGATAAAGTTAGTAGACTGTCACTCTTCATAGGATTAATTGCCCTTAAATGAAGATTTTTATCATCCTCTTTTGTGCTTTGAGCAAAAACTAAAGAAGATAGAGAGAAACTAAACAGATAAAATTATCAGCAATACAAGATCAACAAAAAAGAATTTTTTGTCATGAATTCTATTGTTGTCTACAATGTTGGAGAGAGTCCATTGTTAATTATGCACATATACTTAGGTGAACAACACAGGCTCTTTAGAGTCTCTAGTTTTTTATTTTTAAACCCTGAAAATCTTCAGTCCGGACTGAATTTGTATGATCTGTAACAGCTTCAGTATGTTATCATCTTGTGACAGATTTAATTGCTGAACAGTTCAGGTTGTGATTTCACATCTTATAACAGTTAACTGAGAAAAGACAATGACCTTAGTTTTAGAGAAAAAAAGTTTTATTATCAAAATACATATGCACTAGATATTCACACATAATGGTTTGTTTTTGTTACATCATTCCCACTGATGTCCAATGTATGGAATGTCTTTAGGATTAGGATATTTGGATCTAGCTAAAACCAAAACACATTTTGGCATAATTTCCCGACTATGATAAACTACCCATTCACCACCTCCTATATTTTTCTTTCTGTCCAAGTACTCCCCAGTATACCATACCCCTAAATTGTCCATTATCTTCCAAAACCGTTTATAAATTTCCTTTCTTATGCCACAGCATTACAACCTGTCATGAATTTTGATTACAAATCAACATGATCAGTTGAAATGAAGTTACATTTAAAGATATGGAAACATTAAAAATTGTAAATACTTTATATTTTGTCCTTCATTATACATTCTTTACCTAATGACATTTCAAGTATTTATAACAAAAGTATAACAAGGCTAGGCATCTGCAAGTCATCAGCTTCTTGTTGTCAAATATATAGTCATAAATTCATAGATAAAGAAAAACCATACAGTGACTTTCTTCATCACCAAACTGACCAAAAATCGATGTACTTCGGGGTTTAAGGTGTGTTTACACAGTACGATTTTCCTTTTGATTTTTACCTGTGCACCTGATTTTGACTAAAATCGCACTGTGTGAACACTAAAATCTGATGTCCTTTGGTTGATCGAATGGAAAATTGTATCGTGTGAACAGAACACTACAATTTGCCTAGTTGGAGGTATTAAATTGAATTGAAAATCGGATGAAAAATTGTACCGTGTCAATGCACCTTAACACATAATTGCCATGTACAAAATTTGGTTACATTTTTCTCAGGAACTTCACATGGCTTCCAGAAATTTTGAATCCACCTACATGTGAGCATGCTTTAATGTGTGATGTGTTTCTACTACTCATCAATCTGTTGTGTACCAAATATTTATAGAGGTATCAGAGCAGTAGCTCACAGTTCAATCATAATGATATACCGGTAGTTATAACTTCCAGACAGCTACTTTGTAACACAAATGAAACAAAAAGGAGTGGCACAGTAATACCAACATTATACCATGTGATTGAAGTGATCAAATGTTTTTAGTGCTCTTAAACTTAGTAATCAGTAAGGCCTTCCAACTGTTAAGATTCATCTCCTTTGATCAATCAGATATAGACAAAATGTGTGTCTGACAAAATTGATTATAAACCTGCTATTTTTTTATGACTTTTAATATCTTTGTAACATGTCCATTATATTTTGAAGATATTGAACTGGCAATTTTTGGTTAGAAAACTTTGCATAAAAATGTTGTAGGTGGAGATTTCAATAATTGTCTTTTTTCTTGTAGCTTGTCCACCAGGGCCACCTGATGCCACAACTTTAGCTTTAGGTGTAAGTGGTGCCATCTTTTTGGTTGGATTACTGCTTCTGTTGATATGGAAACTGTTGACATCATGTTTAGATGGCATGGAGTATAAGAAATTTGCAACAGAAATAAACGATCCTAAATGGGGTTTTGTAAGTTCATAAGTATTTATTTTGCATGTGCTATTTATTGTAATGTTGGCCTATTTGTAATAACTGTTTAATACATGAGTCACTGTTGATAACACTTCACTTATATGATAACGTTAATGCATATGGTACCAATTTTTCTGAACCAGAAGCACATTTCAACAACAAATGCTTTTCAGTGATGCTGGAGTGAATGCTAAAATAAAAGATATCATTGACTCACATAGCCTGTGTTATTCTTCCCTTAGTTTATTTATTTTGTATTTACATTGTATCATAGGTCAAATTTATTTGTTCAGTGTATGTTCACTGGTGTTAATATGTCCTTTGATTGAGTTAAGCTATTTCAGTTGATATTTTATAGTGTGTCTTTCTATGTTGTGATGTTACACTATTGTTTCAGAAAAAGGGTGAAGGTTTGGTACCATTAAAACATTTACACCCGCTGCATTTGTTTGCACCTGTCCTAAGTCAGGAATCTGATGTTCAGTAGTTGTCGTTTATTGATGTGGTTCACAAGTGTTTCTCGTTTCTCGTTCTTTAGCTCACCTGGCCCAAAGGGCCAAGTGAGCTTTTCTCATCACTTGGCGTCCGTCGTCGTCGTTAACTTTTTACATTTTGAACTTCTTCTAGAGAACCACTGAATGGAATGAAACGGAACATGGCATGAATGTTCCTTATGAGGTGCTGACCAAGTGTTGTTACTTTGTAGCCGATCCATCATCCAAGATGGCCGCCAGCGGGGGACTTAGTTTAACATAGGACCCTATGGGAAATACATACAAATGTCTTCTTTTAGAGAACCACTGAATGGAATGAAACGGAACATGGCATGAATGTTCCTTATGAGATGCTGACCAAGTGTTGTTACTTTGCAGTTGGTCCATCATCCAAGATGGCCACCAGAGGGGGACTTAGTTTAACATAGCGCCCTATGGGAAATACATACAAATGTCTTCTTTTAGAGAACCACTGAATGGAATGGAACCAAGCATGGCATGAATGTTTCTTATGAGGTGCTGACCAAGTGTTGTTACTTTGCAGCCGATCCATCATCCAAGATGGCCGCCAGCGGGGGACTTAGTTTAACATAGGGCCCTATGTGAAATACATACAAATGTCTTCTTTTAGAGAACCACTGAATGGAATGAAACAAAACATGGCATGAATGTTCATTATGAGGTGCTGACCAAGTGTTGTTACTTTGCAGTCAGTCCATCATCCATGATGGCCGACAGCAGGGGACTTAGTTTAACATAGGACCCTTTGGGAAATACATACAAATGTCTTCTTTTAGAGAACCACTGAATGGAATGAAACCAAACATGGAATGAATGTTCATTATGAGGTGCTGACCAAGTGTTGTTACTTTGCAGCCGATCCATCATCCAAGATGGCCGCCAGTGGGTGACTTAGTTTAACATAGGACCCTACGGGAAATACATACAAATGTCTTCTTTTAGAGAACCACTGAATGGAATGAAACCAAACATGGCATGAATGTTCCTTATGAGGTGCTGACCAAGTGTTGTTACTTTGCAGTAGGTCCATCATCCAAGATGGCTGCCAGCGGGGGACTTAGTTTAACATAGGACCCAATGGGAAATACATACAAATGTCTTCTTTAAGAGAACCACTGAATGGAATAGAACCAAACATGGCATGAATGTTCATTATGAGCTGCTGACCAAGTGTTGCCTCTTTGTTGCCGATTTACTGTTCAAGATGGCCACCAGGATATTTTATTAAATAATGGGACCAATATTAAACCAAATTTGGCCTCAATCATTATTTGGGTATCTGTTATGATTTTTATCTATCTTTACATGATTTCTAAAACCAAAGTAGAGTCAGGTGAGCGACACAGGCTCTTGAGAGCCTCTAGTTATATAGATTAGACCGTTGGTTTTCCCGTTTGAATGATTTTACACTAGTAATTTTTGGGGCCCTTTATAGCTTACTGTGCGGTGTGAGCCAAGGCTTCGTGTTGAAGACCGTACTTTGACCTATAATGGTTTACTTTTATAAATTTTGACTTGGATGGAGAGTTTGTCTCATTGGCACTCATACCACATCTTCTTATATCTATATGATGCTTAACTATCTATGCAATATTTCCTTTAAGAACACTGGGCCAAATGGGTCAACTCTAAAGTGCTAAGATTTAATATTTATGTTTTGTTACAACAACCTTATCATAAACATTAAAGTAAAACACTAGTTGTGTTTTTTGTTTGTTTGGTTTTTGCATCCTTTAAAATCAGTGAGATTGTACCAAAACTTAACATCTCCATCAAACTTCAGTGTTGTTGTACCAAAACTTAACATCTCCATCAAACTTCAGTGTTGTTGTACCAAAACTTAACATCTCCATCAAACTTCAGTGTTGTTGTACCAAAACTTAACATCTCCATCAAACTTAAGTGTTGTTGTACCAAAACCAACCTTCTGTTTTTGTGTGTCAAACATCAGTGTTGTTGTACCAAAACCAACCTTCTGTTTTTGTGTGTCAAACTTCAGTGTTGTTGTACCAAAACCAACCTTCTGTTTTTGTGTGTCAAACTTCAGTGTTGTTGTACCAAAACCAACCTTCTGTTTTTGTGTGTCAAACTTCAGTGTTGTTGTACCAAAACCAACCTTCTGTTTTTGTGTCAAACTTCAGTGTTGTTGTACCAAAACCAACCTTCTGTTTTTGTGTGTCAAACTTCAGCCTGTTGTTTTATACTTCAACCAATGAAATGCATTGTAAATAATCTGGTCTTATATCAATCAGACTGCATACAGATATTGATAAGAGTTTAAATATACATAAGGAAACTCTTGTTTTATAAAAAATAATTGCATATTGAAACATTCTCAATTGTTTTTTTTTTGAATTGCAAAAAAAGTTTGTAAATGTCTTAGTTATTTCAATGTTGGGTTGCTGTCTTGTTTACATATACCCCATCTCCCTTAATTAGTTTACAAAGAAATTTAAAACTGTTAACACTATAATCTGTGAAGTATTTCAGTATTCATTTGGTGAGAAAGTAAAAACTGTTAATGATGTCACTTATTATTAGATGTTCTTTCTACTACAGGAGAAGAACCCAATCTATAAGGACTGTATAACAGAAGTCCAAAATCCAATGTGTGATATATCTCAGGGACCAGATGGACCTGCTGCAGAAGGAATGGGAAATGTAGTTATGAGGAAAAAATAATGTTCTGCTGTTTTTGACAGATTTGTTCAAACATTTCAAGTGCAATAGTGTTTTCTGTTGATATTTCACGGGAGATAACCTAACATAGAGAATAAACATAATTTTGAAAATGATAACTCTACGATTTAGATATAACTTCTTTCAAAAGAAAGTTTACAATTTGTTATCAACCCTAAATAGAAGGAATAAATTTTTATTTAAGCTTAGGGCTGTTCTAGAAACAAAATATTAAACATGAAGGTTTCAGGGCACCATTTTCACATCCATTACTCAGTTTTTGAAAAGAAATCTATTTGATTTCTGAAAAATAATTTCCAACTGTAAAAAAGTAAAGCCATATAGAGGTAGAGTTAAAGTGCCTTAGTAGATTTGTGTATTTATTAAACCATATAAAACAGATGATTTAAGAATTGTATTTATTCTAGAAATAGCTTGGTCATATTCCTTATTAAAATATCCAATCTTACTCAATGTTATTTAATCATTTCGATTGAAAATCTTGTCAAATTGTTGATATTCCTCAATAACATTTATTTGTTGGTAACAAATGAAAATAAAAATCTTGAGACACAAATTGACAACATTTACTAATATTCAAATAAGAAGTGACATGAAGTATATCATATTTAATGTAGCTAATTCAAATTTTTTTGGAAAATATTGTCTCAGGATTTTTCTATGGTGATGCATGAAGAGAATTCAATAAAAAAATATAATGAAAAGATAATACAATGTTAGAACAGCACTAGAACTAGGAATGAAGAATTGGTGGAATTTTCCCTATTTTAAGAAAAATAAATGATTGATGCAGTGGACATTAGAAACATGCAGCCATGACTGAGAAACTAATGATAAATTTCTTTCCCTAATACAATGTTAAAACAACACTTTTGGTGCATATGATTGATCTTGATGGTGTGTAACTGGTGCTATTATGTATGGAAGGATTTTGAATGCCTGAGTAAATTGTAAGACAAAATTCAAATAACCAATGCTGATATCTGACAGACAAATCTTTCTTTTTCTGTTGTTATATATGGGGAACTGCCAACAACAGAGACTGCCATATATAAAAATAAAGGTTATAATTCAAAATTTGAAGACTGTGTCTGGTGAATGGATATATAATTGTATATCATTAAAAATCATATATATAAATGTGCTTTGTTAATCTTTCATTAAATTTTGTATTTTTATGTCTTTCTTATTTGTAGTTCATGTTTGATATTAAATTGAAAACTTAACATTCTTTAATATTTGTTCAGTATCCATGGCAATTTTTTCCATCTCTTAATGCTTATTGTCAAAGCATTCATAGCTTCGGTGGTTGCCTTGCTGAAAATGAATTCTAGACATTACAGGTTTACTTTATCGTTGGATCAGATAAAACAAACAGAATTGAATGATTATCTGCATCATTCTATCAGTTGAGACTTTAAGCTAAATTTTGCCAGCTTTATTTATAGCAAAATATTGAATCAATAAATGCATGTTGTTAGAAACTGTTTTTTCACCTCTGGATGTCTTCTTGCAAAGCTGGTTGCTGTCTCAAGACTTACCTTACATCAACTTTTATTCTTATAACAAGCAAAATATTAGTTTTGATCTTTTTCTCTACAGTTATACAGTCTATGAGGACTTAAAGTGAGGGATATACATTTTATGAAACTGACCACTATTTAAGATAGTAGGAATATTAAAGCATAGTGTTTGCTTAGAACCATTTGGCTTGTTTAAAAATTGTACCAGGGTTTTCCTTAACAAACCAAGATGACTGCTATTACTACAAACAATACATGAAGGGTAAAACACATATTTTGATGATTTTTAATGCAGTTGTATTGTCAGTCATTACTGACTTAGAGTGGGCCAACTATTTGTTCCATAGTCACCTTTCAAAATGATCTCAGATAAACCAAAATTACTGACAATACAATTGATAAAAATTACAAAAATATCTTTAAAGAAAAATATTAAAATAATTGTTAAAGGTCTATTTGAATTGGTTTAACAGGAATGGTCAATTTACTAGAAAAGTTTAATTTGAAATTTTTATCCAATGAATCCAACAGACATCAAATATGCTGCTCCATGACATATAGATTGTGCTATTTATGACATATATATTATATGCCTTATGACAAAGGTTTGCAGTCTCTAATGGGACAGTGCTTTAAATGGGCCATATAGAATGGGAACTGCTTGATTAATCCTAGGAGAGTCATATTTCAAAATTGGATCAGATTGGGACACTAACCTATCAATGTGGCTGCTATTGTTAAAAATAGAACACATGGGGTGAAATAATATTTTGTTAATAATTTTTTCTCCAGCAATGCAGTCATTGAGAACCACGTGACATCGTGGTGATGTAGTAATTTCATGATCCCTTATAGAATTATTTGGTTGACCTCTGTTTAAACTAAAGCTGCCATTATTTAATGTTTCAAATGGTCATTTCGAGGAAAAAGATAAAAAAAAATGCTGATGAAATAGTTCGCTTATATGACGTAATTTTGACAAGGCTGTTGCAATGGTTTTCAAATGTTCACACAATAACCGCTTCACAGTGTCTTGTAGGACTTTTCTCCTGTGACATCAGGCTAATTTGAATGGATTGATTTGTCACATGGGTATCCTTTTTCAATATCCTGACTGATTATGCTACCATTCATTGTAGATTTCATACAGAATATGAAATACTCGCTAAAATACATTAGTCATTCGTGGATGTCATAGATTAACTTGCAGGTTCTCAGATTGAGTATGTACTGACATCCAGGTACACACAGACAAACAAAGAAGGAAGGAAAACAAGTAAAAATGGTATGAACTAATTATTAATTAAGACCAGGTCTCTCTTATAGATGCGTTTCTGACTTAATATCAAGTAGAACAACTTTCATGAACATGACAAAACCGCTTACAGCTTGTATTTGAGTGTTTTCATTTTTGGATCCCAAATTTGTAATCACCGGTTTCCCGTTTCTTGCCATGATATTTATGCAGCAACCGTATATTCTTTGGATTGATTGGTTTGCACTTTCTTATATTTTGAGGATGAGCAATTGAGATGGTGTGTGTGTGTGTTTTATTTCTTTTTTTTTTTCAAAGTTTTTGGTAAAGTTAATTTTCTTGGTGAAAGACCCGCCACAGCAAGCCTCCACACTCATGCTCACGTAAATCTGTTGCGATTCAGTTTGTTAAATGTTTATTTCATTTACATCGTATCTTATTGTGGTGCTCATAGAAAGCAGTTTTATATGACACATATTTGACCTCATTTAGCACCAACACTAGCACTTTGGCATACTAATAAGATATAACTGCATGAATACCGCCACCGCAAATTATCCAACTAACCAATCTACAAAGACCAGCTCAATTACAACAAATGAGAAACAACTTCCTAATAGTATTCACTCGGCATTATAGAACAACCTTAAACAATGTATAGGACAAGCAACAAGAGAACAGGTTAGACTTATATACCAATCGACTAATTAGGCACATGAAATGAACCAGGCGAAGATACTGTGTAAATATCTGAACAGGGATTGTCTTTTTTTTATATAGTTTCGAACATTTGTAGCCACTATACTCCTGATACATAACATTGAAAGAATTGCAAATTCAGCCTACCTATCACAACTAAACAAAGAACAAGCTATCTTTTTTGGGTGGAATAAATATCTATACCAAGAGGAAGACAAGGTAAGCCAAATCGTGGTAACTAAAATTCATCAAAAAAGAAGAAGACTTGAATGAAAGAGTTGTAACAATTGTAGTACAGAGAGCCCTTAGTACAATTATCGACATGCAAACAAATTCTGCACTCTCTATTGATGTATACAAGGAATTCCTTGAAATCATCGTTAATATCAAGAGCAATATCACACAATATAAAGAATTGGGAGATTTAAACGAGTCATCAATAGTGGCTATTAAAAGCAGCAAACATGATGATAGCCTGAACATTTTTAATACTGCGAATGGATTGAAACAACACAAGATATCATGAATAAGCCAATATTATTTTTTACAGGCGAAAAGAACCACATTTTAAATTCTGTATCATAATGACATTCTACAAGCAATTATCATGTACAGTTAAGATTCAGTCGATATCTCAACGTATTGATCAGTAAAAAGCAAGTATATATCTGTATTTAGAAATAATCAAGGATAGAAAAATAAAGCATATAACTATGACATAGTAACACAAAGATTAAGATCGCTACTTAAATAACCTAGAAACACATTTTCAGTACTTAACCAATGAAACTAAAACTGAAAATAAGCTGTTTATCATGTGTATATGATATAAAGCTTCAAAAACAGCAGTACGCTGAAGAAGTGTACATTTAAAGGACCAAAATAAAAAAAAAGAATTGTCTAATGAACGCAGGGAGAGCAACATAATAATGATGTATTTCAAACCGTCTATTGGTCAAATAAATGCATCTTCATGTCGAAACAATGTTAATGCAATATGAGGATGATCCGACTGGGTACTATACCGACACGCTGAGAGGGAATTCTTACGTGCTAGTGCTCAAGGTAACACTCAACAGAAAGACATGTGACACCACCTTGGACTCATTATTCTGACCCCGAGCCGACCAGCCATGGCTCTTACTCAATAATGACACGTGCCTAGCAGAGAAGCAGCAAATACCATTCTTAACGTCTTTGTTTTGACCAGACCGGGGATCAAACACACAACCTCTCGCACTAAAGGCAAATTCAAAACGGGAAAGTCCATAAAAACTGACAAAATCAAACGCTATCCATCAACGGAACAAGTGAAAACAACTGCCATATTTCTGACTAGGTAAAGGCAAGAAAATTGTGGGTTAAACCTGGTTTTATAGCTAGCTGAACCTCCTACTTGTATGACAGTTGTTTACAGTTCCATTATTTGACAAAATTGGTTGAGCAACCCAAACAGACATAATAAGGTAATGTGACAATAATTGGGACCCAGCAGCTAAAACTGTGTACACATACATCACAGACATACAACACAACTGACCAACAAATTAAAACAAATATACAAACCAATCCAACAAAGACGCCAACAAAAAAGGTGCAATAGATAGTAAATTTGACGTTGACAATGACGCCAAACAAAAACGTTTTTGTCGATGATAGTACATACAGTATATAGTATACACTTTCTCGATAATGTAAAGATTAAGTAAATATAAATACAATGGTAAACTAAATGGAAACAAAACGGTAAAAACCCCATTTTTGTCCGAATCGCACCTTAGGACCCACCTGCACCAGGAATGCCCAAAGTTAAAATGTCAAAACTCCGATGTCTGGATGCATAAATACTGAGTCACGTCAAAAGTCATACGACCAAAAGAAATATAATAACACGAAGACAAATAACGGGGAAACTAAAGTAAAATAAAAAGATACATAACTTCAGCACCTAGAATTTAAATCAAGACCATCTTGTATTATTTGTGAAGTAGACACTGATTATTTATCTATTAGGTCTTGATAGTTGATGTGTTTCCCTCAGTTTTGGTTTGTGACCCGGATTTGTTTCAGTTAAATCGATTTATGACTATTGAACAGCGGTATACTACTATTGCCTTTATTGGTACTTTCCGATGAAGTTTTTGAGAAAAAGGACGAGACGTTCTTTAACAAGTTATTTGAACTTCGCTCATTAATTTTTTTGCTCAGACACCGATGACGTGTTGTGGTATAGGGAAAGGTAAATTCATTCGAAACTTGACCGATTATTCAATCAACTTATTCGTGGAAATGGGTCTAAAACAAAAAGAACTGATATTGAGTTCCTGAAAGTTGGAGATGAAGAAACCAAATAAAAAATAATACCAATGTGAACTACTGGCACACATGTTGAAAAATGTATAACCTGTAAAAAAAGATGTAAAATCATTGAAGAAATAACAAAAAATCTAAACAATACAGATATACTGTGGATTCATTTATTTTTTGCGGGTACCAATTTTCGTAGATTCAGGAAAACTTGCATTTTCGTGTATATAGTACGAATAATAATGAATCCACAGTAGTCATAATATCGAAAGATATCCAGAAAGCTATACACCAACTTAAGAATAAGCAGTAGACGAATATAGTATAGCAGGATTGAGAACATTAAAAGAAGAGAACTTCGAATTAAGTTTTATTAGAGAAATATATTACCATC